AAGGTTTTCAAGTAGTTGGTCACAGTAGTGAACCTATCCTATATGTTTGTAATCACCATTCTAAGTTTTTCAATAATTCTTCTAGGAATTGAAACTTTGAGGAAAGGTTTTCGAGTAGTCAGTGACACAACTGAACTCTCATATGTTTTTAATCCACTATTTACTGAATTTTCATACAGTTGGAAGAATTTGTAGTGCAGAAACAAAGAATCCACTACCTTGTTATTAAGATAGCAAGCACAAAATTGATGTTGCCGAGATAGCAAGAAAGCTGACCAGATGTCATTGAAATTGACAGATCATATTGTCAAAAATCGATGATTAGAATTCCACTTTTTCGAATCTTGCTATGATAGCAATATCTTCTCTACAACCATATTGAAATTTGCAAACAGAATCGACCCGATTTGTCACTATGAATGCAGTATTTTCAATAATTAGCCATGACCATGACAGCATAGTCCTTATTGATAAATACCTACTAGATTCGAGTGCCATTCCTTCGAACCTTTATCGACTAGTGGTTCATAAAATGACGAAAACTACCTTGATAGTAAAAACACATTTTACGCCTCCAAGAGGAGTAAATAGTGGTAGGTTTTATAGGTAGTGGTGGAAAAACAATACTATCACTAATTTCCTAGAGAACACTCCGTTTGGAATGCTAATTATTTCCTTTCACGTATTTTTTGCTGCCGATCACAAACTTCGACCGTACGTGATGACATCTAATATAAGATTGTCTTGGTTCACTGCTCTGTCCCGAATGAATGACTAATAAGTTGAATCATGCTGCTGCTATCAGAGCAAATGATTAATCTATGAATAATAATGATAATGAAGTATACTAAGGGTAAAGGAATTAAAGTATACATACTACAAGATGGAGAATTGACCACTGATATACTGGCAGTAATTATTTCGGAAATCTGTCGAAATTCGGGAAATTGAACATAGGTTGAAAAAATCTCTCGTGATTTGAAAGAACTTAACAGATACAATGTAGTGCAGAAATCGAGACAATTTCTTAAGCAGAAAAAAAAAACAATGGGACATATAGGCACAAAATTAGTTTTTATATCATTTCTTTGTTTTAAAAAATACAGTTCCGAACGGAAAGCACGAAAATCCGATTTTGGAAGCATATGTGGCAATGAAGTTGAACTACACTGGGCAACATAAGGAAAAATTGCGAGAATGCTTCACCAAAAGCAAGTTGAAACAGTCACGTAGGCGAAACATGTGACTTTTTTTTAATTTCACGTTTTGAATGATCTAAACACAGTGGCATGCTGGTAAATGATTTTTTTCAAATTCAACATTCGAATAAATTGAGAACAGGGACATACAGGGTGACAGTTCAAAACCCTACCAACCCCTTCTCGATATACGTCGGTGAACGAAACGAAAAATTCAAAAATTCTGCAAAAATTCAAGAAAATGTATTTAAAATATCGCGATTCAAAGAATTCAACACAGAAATAGGCAAATATTTTCTTCTGTATCCCTATTCGAAAAAATGTAAAAAACAAGGACATAAAAAGTGTAGGAAATGAAAAATGTGTCGAAAAAAGGTAACACGGCAAGATTATCGTATTGGAGATATTCAGAAATATTATATCTATGCATTGAATGGAAAAAAATTGAACACAAATTGTTCTCAACAAGTCAGATTTTTTTCGGGTCTCTTCTTTGAACATCTATTTTCAAACCCTGTCAATGTCTGACATTCATTTGAATAGCTCTTTCGAATTGACTTCACACTCTGTATGCAAAAATATGTGTTAGTCCTTCGGAAAAGGTATAAAAATTATTTCAACGTTAAATGAATTAACCTACTCAAAAAACCTATCACTCATAAAATGAAATATTTGAAAAATAACACTCACCAGCGTATTACAAGTTAGGCTTTGATAAAATGAAATGATTCTTTTGATGAATTTTCTATTTTTCACAGCACAGATCACCAAAACATCACACTATCGCCATTTGAAAACGAAACACCGGCTCTGTAGGTCGACAGAACCGGATAATAAAAAAACGCTTGAATACGTCAAATACATTTTCAAAGGGGTTATCGTCCTAATATATTTTCAGCGCTGCGGCCTTGCCGCTTCTATCGAAAAGTAGCAACAACTTTGTTATTTCGAATAGAATACCCTGTATTCCATTGCATTTTTGGATCCTTTCTGAAGAGCTGATTTCATAAGTGCATTACAGAAATATAGGGTGTTCAAAATCGGGATTTTTCATCTCTATGGATTTTTTTGTGTCGAAACTATTCATTATTGGTCAAAACGGCTCAGATGTCCCTATCTCACCTTCTGATCTACTATCTACTGATATTTAATTGAAACAAATATAGGGGGGTTCGAGATTCAAAATTCTGATCACCCTGTATCTGTACCAATTAATTGATTGAGATGGGTACATGAAAGCCGTTTTGACTGATAATGAATAGTTCCGACACAAAATAATCCTGAATTTGAAAATTCTACGATGCGAAAATGACCGAAAATGAAAAGATTCGATATAAAAAATTCTGTATTTTGATCACCCTATAAAATTGTTGCTACTCTCCGATATTATAGCTGCAACGACGCAGGGCTGAAAATATTTTAGAACGATGTCCCCCTCGAAAACCTACTTGACGTTTTTTTTTTAAAAACAGATTCTGTCAACCTACAGAGCCGCTGTTTTTTTTTCAATTGGAAACCCTGTATGTAATCACTGAACTGAGAAACACAAAAACACAATACTATCACTCATTTTTAAGTGAACACTCCGTTTGGAATTATGATTAATTCCATATTTCGTGTAATTTTTAATACTATCACAAAATCCGACCGTACGTGATGACATCTAATATAAGACTGTCTTGATTCAACGCTTGGTCCCGAATGAATGACTAATAAGTTGAATCATGCTCCTAACCGAGCAAATGATTTATCTATGACTAATAATGATAATGAAAGTATACGGGGGGAGGAAGCAAATAAAGTATACATGATACAAGATGATAAATTGAACACTGACATACTGGCAGTAATTTTTTAGAAATTCTCAAATTCGGAAAAATTCAACACAGGATGAAAATATATTTTTTCCAAAAATCTCTCGTGATTTGAAAGAAAGGGATTTTTCAACTTTAGGATTTTATGTGTCGAAACTATTCATTCCGAGCGATTTTCAATTTTTTCAACGACTTACTATCAGTCCTAATAAAAATAATTGAAAAAAAAAACACTCACCACCGTATCAAAAGTTAGGCTTTGATGAAACAGAATGATTCCGTACCAAAAAGTCTTCTTCTCCAGCATCTCATGCTATTTCACTGTTCAAATGTTCTATATTTCACAGCACGGAACACCAAAACAACACACAATCGCGATATGAGTGACCATTTCAAAACGAAACAGCGGCAGTAGGTCATGTTTTTTATCCCAGTGTTGTAATTTGTCAATGTTTTAATTTTTTAATTTCATTACATATGTGTATAATTACTATAGTACCTAGTTTAAGCTCACAATTTTTTATAAATTCACCTATACTAACTACTACTATGTAATTTGCTTGTGCATCTGTGACCTGCCATCTGTACTTTGTATTTTTATATGGCCAATAAAGATTACTTACTTACTTACTTACATCAGAACCGGATTATAAAAAAAGACGGCAACGCCGTAGCGCTGAAAATATTCCAGAATGATGTTCCCCTCGAAAATGGTGTTGCCATGTTTCGTTTTTTTTTCATAATCAGATTCTGTCGACCTACAGAGCCGGTGTTTCGTTTTCAAATGGACACTATCTATGTAATCACTGAACTGAGAAACTAAAAACACAATACTATCACTCACTTTTAAGTGAACACTCCGTTTCGGAATTATGATTAGTTCCATATTTCGTACGTGATGAATTCTAATATACGACTGTCTTGACTCAACGCTTGGTCCCGAATGAATGACTCATAAGTTGAATCATGCTGCTAAGCGAGCAAATGATTTATCTATGACTAATAATGATAATGAAAGTATACGGGGGGGGGGGAGGAAATAGAGTGTACATAATACAAGATGAAGAATTGAACACTGACATACTGGCAGTAATGTTTTGGAAAATCTCAGAATTCGAAAGAATTCAACACAGGTTGTGAATAATATTCTCTTCAAAAACCTCTCGTGATTTGAAAGAAAGAGATTTCTCAACTCTAGGATTTTATGTGTCGAAACTCATCATTGGTCAAAACGGCTTACATGTGCGAGAAAAACATTTATATAATATTCTCGCAAAATATGAGTGGTGGGTGACACAATATGAAAATTTTAGGTTTTTTTGTTGCAGTATTTAGTAAGTTTGTACAAAATCATCCATCAAATTGCACTATTTACAGTGAAAATGAAGAAATATTGAAAAAAACGATTGATTGATTTATATATACATTCCCCTATAGCCTTTGTGGAAAATAATTGTTGCCATGTCAATCAACACACAAATACAAATTAGTTAGTGTAATTCTCAGAGTGACAGATAGGGCGTTACTGTCATTTTCGATTCACTGGAATTGCGATGAAAAACTTTCAGCTAGAGATGCGATACAGATGAGTTATTGTCAACGGGATTTATTGAATGGTGCAATAGTAAGAAAGTGAAAACACCAAATAAAGAAGAAGTATTTTTGGCTCATTTCCTAGAAATGTCTGAAACCTAGAGGCTAAACACCATGGGCATGCTGGCTTCCGCAATAAGCTTTCCTACATAATGCTTCAAACGGTAGACACAATAGATATATCACTAATAATTAGAAGATATCGAATATATCACTATTGTTATCAATCAATTTCCTACGCTTGTAGAAAAAATATTGTTCCTAACTCATGCGGAAAGTGTCTTTCCCGCACTCGACTGCCTGCTCGAACTCCTCTTCGCGCCGTTCGGGTCAACGGCATTCGTGTGCGGGAAATTATCACTTCCGCACTTGTTAGGATAATAACTATTTCCAGCGTGACTGTGAGAGCAGCAATAGACGTCAAAAAAGGGGAAGCTCTGCTCAGCAGCTACACTTACTCCCTCTGGCCTACCCTGGTCAGAAGGGAGTTTTTAAGGGAGAGCAAATATTTCGAATGTACCTGCCAACGGTGCTCCGACAAAACTGAACTGGGAACAAACAGCGGCACCCTCAAATGCCAGAAATGTGACAATGGAGTGATTATTGCTACTGATGCGTTGGGTGAGTATACAGGATATCTAATGTGAAATATTGAGTAAATGTGAGGGCATAATCGTTCTAAATGGAATTTTAGTAGATGAGGTGTAACATCTTCTGTTTGGTGGAGAAAAGTTTGCAAAAATCTCCTTTACTGACGACATTTTTAGTAAGACAATGACTTCTATCTTGAACAAAGTTTTTCATTTGCTATCTTTGCCCTAGACATTTTTGTATTCCTATCTAGATTCACATTCTTGTCAAGTACAGTGTACACACACATTCTTGATGTTCAAACATTTTTCAAGTAAGAACCTTGTTCACTGAAACTAGGGTCCCTTGATGCAAACCAACGTATTTGTCATCTAACAGGGTGCGGACAGATCATTGCTTCTTTCTCTTTTTTATCATCCAGTGACTTCGGTTTCGTGTATTGCCGTCTCTGACATGACATTGCTGTCACGTCACATTCATAGGCGTTAAAAGAGATCTTACAAAATTTCAATTTCATACTTGATCTCAATATGACATTATTCAATTCTGTTTTGGAAGGATGGTAAAGTGTGTTGCGTTAGGCTGTATCAATCAGTTGGATGGCAAATTTGAATTTGACAGCTTTCCATCAAATGCAAATGAACTCAGAACATGGAAAGTGAAGTGACCGACTGGGGAGAATTGGTAAATACATCAGCAAAATATTCGAGGTAAAACTAATACGAAATCACATATTATACTTTCTCATTGTGCCTATAATTATCCACTCCATAAGTTTTTGCATGTATTTTAGTAGAAACAGTTTTGATTAAAACGGAGGATTAAAAGAAGAGGCATATGCCCCACCATTTAAAAAATTATACCAACATTCAGGAAATATTAAGTGTTCGTGAAGAACTGCAAAAATGATTTCCAACATGAATATATACAGCACACATGACATATGAGCACATTAGTTTGAATACCTACATAAAATTTCTCAACCATAAGGCTTAGTCTGAAATCAAAATTCATTTATTGATAGGTACTGCCTAAGAACAATCCCATTTGGTGAAACGTATTAATCTTTCAGAACAATTTGAACAATCAAAAACTCGAAAATTATCATCATCACATGGATATAATATGTAGGGTTAAATGAGAAATTACATGTGGAAATTAGGTATGATACGCCACTGTCCTCAATATAACCTAAAAAACAACAAATGTCAGAAATCTAGTGTTTATCCCCAGAAATGAATAAAGATGGATCTATATAACTGTTTCACAAACACTTTAGAGTGAGAGGAGACGAGGATCTGTCCGTACCCTGTTAAGATGACAAATACGTTAATTTATATCAAGGGACCCTAACTGAAACCATTTTGTATCAAATACAGCCATTTTATCAACATTTTCGGAGAAGGAAATCAATGAAATTCCCAACACATAATTTTATTGTTCGAAAATCTGAACTGATATAGCCTGATGACATTATAACAATCTGGGAAGAGAAAAAAAAAATGAATTTCATAGGAAATATACGTATTTTCTCCTAGGAAAATTGAAGAACTCAGTTTTTTTAGACATATAACTTCTCGATTGATCTTGAATTGCATCTTCTGAAGTTTTAAAGACATTTCGTTACTCCCCTACTATAACCGACCTTGCAAAAATGAATTCAACACCACTGTTGTTTTTTTCTTGAGTTAGATTATTTCATTTTGTAGATGATGAATGTGAGTGGAACTGCACCCATTGTGATTTCAAAACTCGCGCCACAGCAGTGAGGAAGGTATTTGCCGCCATTCAATCCGACATAGATGGCGTTGAATACATCGCTGGACCCGAAGGTAACCCCGTAAAACATCAAAACAATTTGTATGTTGCCATTTGCCAAATTATGAATTAGAAATCCATATTCGAACGATTTATACAAACATATTTTTGGTATCCTTTATAGTAGGGAAGCCCAAGCGGGGATTTCGGGATTTACTCGAGCGCGGCAGATTAACATAAGGGAGTTATCCTTGGACCCGCCACCATACATGGGTCCTTCATATGCTGTCGAAAGTTTAGGGCAGCCGATCAGATTAGTAAAAAATAGTCGATCGTCAGAAATATTTGAGTGCGTCATATTAAGACATGGTACGTTAATTACGTGCATAAAGTGTGCATTTCAATAATCTGATAATTTGAGCGTGACACAAAGTTGCAAAAAAAATCGTCACCTGTACATTCTCGAGCGCGGTTAATTTTTTTCTTATTTTGAAGGCAATTAGTCACGGATCACGGAAATAGCATAATCTGACGATTTGCACAAGCCGAAGTAGCAGAAAACATCAATTAATAAGTGTGGTGCTTACAGCCACTGGGGACTATAGAACGGCTAGGCTCTGGAATTCATTGCTTCAGGCGATAAAAAAAATCACTTCGTATATTGTTATCAATATCTCAGAAATATACTGGTTATGAGACTAGACCATCTCAAGAATTTTTGTTCATCTATCTCAAACAGCAAAGCTCTTATCTCACTTTGCCACACTATTGGTCCACCCGGTATGTCTACATGAGCCTTCCAACTTGAAATTGTGAATTCTTCGAACTGTTCCTGCTACAAAAAACTGTAAATATAAATTTTATATTTCAGTTATTGTTCTGAAATTGTTCTGAAATTGTTCTGAAATTGTTCTGAAATTGTTCTGAAATTGTTCTTATCCATCATTCGGTTGCCCCCTTACGAGCAACCCTCAGAAGTCTTCAAGAGACTTGTGCGAGCAAGGAATGACGGGAGTCTTACCTTGTATCGTGTGATACTGTGAACACTTTCTTAGGCCATCAGAAAATTTTCTGCGGTCGTGGTGGGACTCGAACCCACTAACGGTAATGGATAGAACATTGACGCTCTAACCACGAGGCTACGCTATTACATTCAGTTAACAAAATAAAAACCAACCGTCAGATTAAGGTAATTCCTCTACATTGCCAAGGGAGGTGTTCCCCGAGGCATATAACCTTCTGAAGAAGAACACCAATTCCAACCTTAATTCCCTTGGTTCTCACGATGTTCTCTGAACATTACAGGATATCCCTTTTCGTGGGAACCAGAACATAAAAAAAACAACATAATTGTCAGACTATGGGTCGATACGACAAGGACATTAAGATGAAGCGTCTGTATAATAATCTGACGCGCTCGAGTATTTTAAAGTCAAGATTTTTTTCCCATTTTAAAAAATTGATTATAACTTTTGGTCGCGTCCCAATCGTCAGTCTTTTCAATGGGGACTACTTGAGGGTTCACTTAACGTCCCTTCTCAATATCTGACGCGCTCGAATAATTTTTTTTACCTATTCTCTATCCCTTCGTACGGCCACCCCCACCATGCAAACCGGCAGATTGATATTTTTCGATTATCAGAAACACGTGGGGCGTAAATCCCTATTTAGCCTCTTTGCCTCTCCTACTGTTAATAAGTTACTGGTATAATTGAATTTTTCAAAATTTTCGCATTCAACAATTAGATTGTGTTGTTACAGACCTCAAAAGATTTTCCATTCCATTAAAATGTGTTTTTGTTGCAAGTTATGAGTCAAGACACTGTTCAAAGTTCGAAATTTTCAGGTATCGAAGCCAGAGAAACACTTTACAAGAAATACAAATCTGTGTTGCATCCTAAACATTCTTACATGACAATTTTAAGAAGTGGACTCGTTCAACTTTACGGTAAAGCGGAAGGGTATACTTTGGACGACCTTCCGGATATTATCCTGGAGAGGAAAGTGGAACTTTGCCATCAGTTGCTAGAAGTGCTGGATGTAATTGAACCAGGACGTTCCAGAATAAGAGGTGGGTCACACTCAGACCAAATAACAATAGATAGAACCAAGAATAATAAAGACAAAACTTCTAAATTCGAAAAATCAGGGGTATACAAACTCAACTATAAGGTATACAGGGTGTTTCAGACTTAAATGTACATACGATACTGGCAGATAGAGGACAAGTTGACGGTTTCAAATCACCCACATTGATGTTTATCTTCTTTTATAACTGAGATACCGAACGTTATCTTGATTTTGGCAAAATCTTCATCTGGTCATAATGTTTGTACCACGTTGTATAATCTATTCATACTTGGTAGAAATATTTCACTTATATTGCACATCAAACCTAAATAAAAATTGGGATCAGAATCCAGGTCCGTCTTAAGGAAAAACAGAAAACTTGTTTATTTCAAAAACAACACTCTGTATGGGAAAATTTGGGGATCTGTTTTGATATTTGGAAAGAGCAGGAAAAAATTTATGTAGTGACCTACTTATAACAAGCGCGCATCCAATTAGACAGATAGTTCATTATTATGTTTTGAAATATTCACCCCATTTCGAGGAAATTTTATTGAACTGTTTTTCAAAATCCAATTTTAATACAAAAAAATAATTGTCATCAAAGTTGATCGTCATTCAAAATAAATTAGGTGAACAATTGATACATTTACCGCAGCTCATGAATCAATAGTAAAGAATAAAACAAGCCCTCAAAAATTTCCAAAATCACAGACGTTATTCTGTCAAACGAACAGATTTATCTATTTCACACCACTGATGTTGAAGGACGTTATTGGATTTTGAATTGCGAGTTCAATAAAAATGACTCAAAATGGAGCCGAGTATATCAGAAAATAATAATAAAACATCTGTTAAATCGGATGCGCGGTCGTAAGTTGTTTCTGATAGAAGTGGCAACACTGTATCGATGAAAATATTTTAGACGAATAGAAAATGTTCAATTATCAAAGCATCCAAATTTTCAGAATGTTCTGTTATTTGGTTCTCCAGATACTTCTAATAGCCCATCCACCTTTAAGAACACCCTGTATATGGTATCAAATATTGTTGTGTTTGCTTTTTCAGGAATAATCTTGTACGAAGTCCACGGTCCATTGATGATGTTGGCGAGACACCAATACCAAAACGAGGTTATAACAAAGGAAGATTTCAGAGCGCAACTCAAGAAGGCTGTGGACACTTTGGGATCGGCCGTGGAGATTCTGAGACAGGAACCACGGAGTCTTCCGGAAGGTCAGCTGAGCGCCATAGCTGAGGATGCACACAAGCAGCTCATGGACAACTTTGACATGCTAGTGGAAACTGCATAGAGGTACTTTTTTGACTAATATTTATTGATGCGGCAGTTTTATAGTGTTCCATTTGTTGAATAGTTAAAACTTTGTGAAAGAGTATATTTTCATTGAATACATTGACTGTCACATCACGTGGTTGATAATTTTTAAGGGGATTAACCGTTACGACAGATACAAAAAGGCTAGAAGGCTTTGACGTAATCATAGTGTATAACTTTATAACTATTATTATTCACCCTTTAAACACACAATTGGTGATGTTATTGTCATGAATACTACAGAGTTGTGTTATACAGGGTGTTTCAAAATTCAGTATCAAGATTTTAGGGGCGTATTTTTCAGGTCAAAATAAGACGTTTTTGTCCATAAACATGTGTCCGCAAACGCTTCGTTACCGATCTACAGAGCGTTAATGTTTCAAGATTTTTTTATTTTTTTCTTCATAGCTCTTTCAATTTTTGAGATATTAAGATCAAATTTGGAATGTAGGTTACGTTCTAGGGCTAACATCATCCAGCATGCCGAGTGATTGTGAGAATCTACAGGGAGATATTTTTTTCAGGGGTCAAGCCCTTTTTTACCCCATAAACTTTTTTGTGGTGCGCCGCTGGTGAATTCTGAGATACGAAATGAATTCTTTGTTTTGTTTATAAATTTTTTTGTCTCCTGTAATTTTCACGCATCTGCGATCGTTATCGAGAATAAAGTAAAATCAATTTTTGTGATTCGCTACATTTAATTAAAATTTTCAACGGAACAATGGAAAAGCGAATTAGTGGGCTTTGACTGCTATTTTCATTTTGACGTTTAGGTGTGTTTTGAAGCATTTGACATTATTTGAAAGTTGGTGGATGTCTCATCGTGTATGTGTTTAACTTTAACGCTCTGTAGATCGGTAACGAAGCGTTTGCGGACACATGTTTATGGACAAAAACGTCTTATTTTGACCTGAAAAATACGCCCCTAAAATCTTGATACTGAATTTTGAAACACCCTGTATAATTGAGAAATTAATAAAGAAAATTTAATGTCAGACTAAAATATCAAGAATGTATCATTTCATTATCAAACTACTGAACTAGCTGTATCAAGTGGGAACCAGCCGCATATTACTGTATGCATAATCCTACATGGTCCTTCGAGCCGGATTATTCGAAATCATTTAAGAACATTCTTGAAACAATTAAGGCCATTCATAATAATTCAATTGCCATCTAGATGAACCTAGAACATCTCTAATATATTCTTAATGTTATAGAAGATTCCAGAGTATTTTTTAAATTTCTAGAATATTTGAGATCATTCCAGAAATATCATGAATCATTTAAAATTATTTCTGAAGTTAGGAAATCATTTCTAAAACAACCCGGAAATTTTCAAAAATTCTAGAACATGCCATAACAACCTCGAAATTTCTGGAATATCATAACAGTTCTGATATTTTCAGAGCATTTGAGTTCATACTGGAACATTCTTGAAATCTCTAGTACATTCAAGATATTTCTGGAACACGCCTGATATTTTCAAAACAAATCTGCAACTTTCAGAACATTCCGTGTATTACTAGAAGCTTACTAGAGCATTCTAGTACATTTGAGGCATTTTAGAACATTCTAATTTTTTTAAACATTCTAGATTATTCTAGAACTGTTCTGAAACTCTTGAGATCATTTCATTGAAGAACATTCTAGAACATTTGAGGTCATTTCAGGTTATTCAGATTTTTTTTAGATCAATCTAGATTATTCTAGAACTATGAAACGCTTGAAATCATTCTAGAACAATCATGAGATTCATAGGACGTTCCTGGGATTTTTAGAACATTCTAGAGCATTATTGAAATTTCTAGAACACCGAGATTATTCTGGAAATATCCAGAAAAATTCAGCATGATCTCTGAACATTCTAGAAACTTCTAGAACATACATGAAATTTCTTGAACATCAAGAAAAAACACCACCACATCATGAAATCCAAGTATTTCACGAATATACGAAATTTGAATTTGTGTGATGTTCTATGGAATAAAAAGAGCGCTTATTTCTACACCATCCTATTTTAGATTTTGTTTTCGAACAGAGATGACTTTTCTATTCAAAATTGCAATGAAAATTTGTAAAAAATAAATGAATGTCAAAGAAACTAATTTGGTCAGGGGAAGTCAAGCTGCATATTTATAGAAAATAGAAATATATATTTAGTCTCAAGTTCATGCATAATCATCAATAAATAAGTAGCTACTACAATCAAATTATATAAATTATATGATACAAAAGTTTCAATTCATTGAATAAAAAATCCAATATCTTATCAATCAATACAAAAATAAATCAAAACTTTTGCTTACAGAAAATATCAATATATATAAAATTCATAAAATATAATGAATACTTAAATCTAGGTAATGTGTAAATAATAGAGTAATCTTCAAGTTTCAATGACACAAGTATAAAATATCACAATCATTTAGTGTAAAAAAATAATAAATAACAAATATTTAAAACGCCACAAATGATGTAAAAAGAATACATAATAATATTTTGTTTCCAGTTATGACTAAGATTATATATATAAAACATGCAAACATTTTGATGTTTTAACAATAATCAGTCACATGTACAATATTTTGAATCGATTCGCCATTACTTGATGGAAATCCATAGTAAATGTAAGAAACTTCACTAAGTATAAGATTTTCACAAAATTCTTTAAAACACCACAAAAAGGTTTTAGGAATTTTGTGGAAATTTTATTGTTTGCGAAGTTCAACATATACGATAATTATATAAAATTGTATTTGAAAATATTCAGGTCTTTTATGGCGAGCATTTGTTCACTGAAATTGTATTGCTAACAACTATTTTGAATAATAATTTTATTCATGGAACAAGCCATTCATAGAAACCATGAAATATTTTCAGAACCTTCAAAATATGAAATAACTATCTAATTCAAATGCTTGATCATGCAATACAACAAAAAGCTTTGAATGCAAAGCTGAAAACACAGTTATAAATAGTTTTTTATAATAATAAATTATTTCTTCATGACAAAAAATGTTACAATTAAAAAACGTCACTATACCTTTCTACCCAAACCAGGTTTTCAGATTATAAATCAAATAACAAAAACCTTAACTAGCATAGAAAATGATTAGTACAGATCGCGTACCTCTATGATCGATCACAAAGTTGAGAATCACCATTTAGCAAGAGGACTCCCAAACACAGATGATTTGGTGGGAGAGTTTTTCCTTTCAGCGCCTGGGGCAGCAGAAAACGAATTCGATCGTTTGTTCAATTCTGAAAACATCAAAGTATTCAATTTAAGTGATGGCAATCCAAAATCATGCGCAGTTTTTCATTTTCTTTTATTGCATTGCACAGAACACGAGAGTCAAATTATTGAATTCAGCGTTTGAATTTTTAATAAAAACGAGAATTTGAATCGCATGATTTATGGCAATGTATCAACAGAGTAGGCCAGTCCAAACATTCGCAAGCCATATAAAACACAGAAATAAATTACTAACTAGACCGCTAATAAAATAATTTTTTTCTCACCACTAGCCATAGAACCTACAAGTATTTATTATTTATTTTTGAAAGTTGTGAGATTCAGCTGATCTTTTTTAAGATAATTTCGGGATTTTGCTGTTCATCATGTAATACCGCAAATATTTTTTGAACATCCAGAAGTAATTTCGGGATGAGTCCAGAAGTGTTTGAAACTATTCTGGGTAGAATAGAGAATAATTCCAAAATATTTCCTGAGGCCAGTTCACTTTACGGCAATTTTAGGTCAGATTTTGAGGTTAGTTTATATAAAATACCACCATTTCCGCCATTTTATATACTCCCTCCACAATCGTCTTCCTGTCATTCCGTATGAGAAGACGGAATGAAAAGTTGATTGATTGATTGATTGTCTTTATTACCCCAAGAAACATTATTGTTTATAATAGGGATATATACAACAAAACATACATATTATAAAACATAATAAATCGAAACAATAATAATTGCACAATTATTGTTTTTCCTAAAAAAAAAAGAATTATAATAAAATATAAAATGAAAATATCATAATCCATTACAAGTAATCAAATTGTGAATGATTAGTACTATTAAAGTTTACTGAGCAGATATTTCTTTAATTTCATTTTAAATTTTTCTGCTTCTTCTATATTTTTCAACTCATTAGGTAAGGAGTTATACAAAATTATTCCATTATGGAATATTGATTGTTTACCAAAATTTGACTTATAATTATTTGCTATCAATAAATTGAATTGCCTTGTTTCATGGGCGTGAATCGTATTAACTTCATTAAAATTCAGAATTTCGTTCAATAAAACGACATGGATTGTCATTCCGGTGTAAGAATCTTGCCAATAAAACGCACCTAATGTTTATACAGGGTGGGCCACCAGTAACGCCTCGGTCTACAGAAGGCTAACCACTTATCTTCTTGGAATTCTTCCTCTCTAGGAAGTTGCATGTCAACATAGGCTACCATTTGAAATTATTTTGAAACATACAGGATGTCCCCAAAAATCACAAAACACTGAAGTTGAACTTTTTTCTATCGAACACCCTATATATTATTTCAATTCGAGGTTCTCCCTGGTGAGCTGATTTCAACAATCCATCATACTTGGGGTCTAGCAGTTATAATTACTGAGATATAGGGTGTGAGAAATCGAGATTTTCCAAGTTCAAGAATTTTTTGTGTCTAAACCATTCATAATTGGTCAAAACGGCTCACATGTCCCTATCTCAACTTTTGATCAACTATCTACTGACATTTAATTGAAACAAATACAGGGTGGTGCAGAATTCAGAATCTTGATCACTCGGTATATGTCCCAATTAAATATCAGTAGATAGTTAATCAAAAGTTAAGATAGGGACATGTAAGCCGTTTTGACCAATTATGAATAGTTTCGACACAAAAAATTCTTGAACTTGGAAAATCTCGATTTTTCAAACCCTATATTTCAGTAATTATAACTGCTAGACCCCAAGTATGATGGGTCGTTGAAATCAGCTCATCAGGGAGAATCTCAAAATGAAATAATATATAGGGTGTTCGATAGAAAAAAGTTTAACTTCAGTGTTTTATGGTTTTTGGGGACACCCTGTATGTTTCGAAATAATTTTGAATGGTAGCCTATGTTGACATGCAACTTCCTAGAGAGGAAGAATTCCAAGAAGATAAGTGGTTAGCCTTCTAGAGACCGAGGCGTTACTGGTGGCCCACCCTGTAGAGGAAAACAAAAAAATTATAATAAATAAATCAAATATGCAATACAATGAGAGATAAACAGTTCAATCAGAATTAATTGATGCAAGGAGAGAGTTAAATTGATAAAATATATTTCTTCAGTTCACACTTAAATTTTGTGACGAACCTAATAGATTTTATTCTGTTGGGTAGACTATTATAAATATTTATTCCACAAAAAAACAATGATTTTTCCTGAATTGGGTTTTTATTTTAACAGTTTTCAAATGTTCACATTGACTGGTGATATTTTTTCTATATACCTTTATTTCTCTTCTCCAAACCTTTTTCAATACAAATTGTCACTGACAAGCTAGTGAATTCTTCTTTTAGGCTCTCTGATAGGAAAATTCTTTAAACGCAGTGACATGGGGCAAATCATCTGATTTGTCCTTACTACACGTATATTGAAATAATATTCATATTTTTATTCTATAGAAACGAGGAGAGAGAATCCCCAAAAATCTGGAATAATGACCATAATTGCGCTTTTCAACTTCGTTTCACGCCATTGCGATTTTTTGGGGAAAATAGCGCTTTTTGCTTCTTGTTAGAGCCGCTTTACAGTTCACAATTGAAAAAAAATGCAGCCATTTTCATTGCGCGCTCACGCACAAGTGTCTAGTGTCATTCTGAACAACACCTGACATTGCAGGAAATGGATCCGCACTCAGTTTTAGTTCCATCTACCCAACACAAAACTCATTAAGAAGCAAAACATATATTTTTTTGACAAAAAGTAATTGCAAGTTGGTCATTCCGAATTGCCAGAAATATGCAGCTAGCAATCAATTGCATGAAATGAAACAGGGAACATTGTCATGCGGTTCTCTATCAATTATGGATAAATTTGACAAATCTTATTCGAGGTCACCAAGGTCATTAGATGGCGTTGCGATGACATTGAAAACTACGGGTAAACATGTCTAACTTTCAATCTATGCTTGGAGCTAGGATGTTTTTCCTTAGTTCTGAATGTCATGGAGATGTCATCTAATGACCTTGTCAACCGCGAATACTTGTCTGCCAAAATTGTCAAGACGGTAAACGATAACTTCGTGAGCGAAATTGTCAGATAATGCGCATGTGCAAATTTTCATTGCGTGCACGATGACCGACCCTGGATGTAAAACATTGAAACACCACCTCTCAACTTTTCTGTAAAATATTGAAACACAACCTCACTTTTCTTATTTGTTTACAAAGGAACCAAAGGATTGAAATAGTTCTTCACAATATTTAGGGATACGAATTGTGTTTTTTGGGCTATTCATTAATTCAAGCATACCATCACATTGTTCTGTTGTACAATGCACAAGAAATGCAGCGAGAGACAAAGGAATATGATTTTTCAGGTAAATAGTGATCTAAGTTAAATTTTGTCATTTTTCATTAGATTTCCTTCAGACACTTCTGCAATCAGAAGCTAATACTGCTAATAGAGTGAAAATGTCTACAGACACACACGATCATATTTCGTCAGTCCTCCCGTTTCCATCCTGGAATTATTGAATAGCCGAAGAACACGAATATTATGCCAAAATAATCGTGAAAAACTTTCAATCCCTTGTAAACAAATAGGTCGCGTGCACGATGACCGACCCTGGAGGCAAAATATTGAAACACAACCTCACTCTTCTGTGAATTATTGAAACACAACCTCACTTTTTCATTTGTTTACAGAGGAATCCAAAGGTTTAAATAGTTTTTCACAATATTTTGGCATACAAATCGTGTTTCTTGCGTTATTCATTAATTCAAGCATGCCTTCGCATTGTGCTGTTGTACAATGCGCAAAAAATGCAGCAAGAGACTAGGGAATATGATTTTTCAGGTAAATAGTAATCTCACATAGTTATCATTATGAAATGTTGTCATTCCTTATTAAAATTCCTTCTGCCTTCTGCCACTTCTGCAATACAAGGTAATACTGCTAATAGACTGAAAATGTCTACAACACACACGTCGTTGCTTGGTCTCAAAACGAATAAGGCTAACGGTCCTGATGGAATTCCACCCATTATCCTCAAAAAATGTGCACCAGAATTAACACCGATTCTCTGCAAGTTGTTTACCGTCTCGTACAGGTCGGGTATTTTTCCATCATGCTGGAAGACAGCTAGAGTCCAACCAATCCCCAAAAAAGGGAACAAGAACCTGCCCAACAACTACAGGCCCATTGCCCTGTTATCAGTAATCTCCAAAGTTATGGAGAAAGCCATCAACATTGAGCTCATCAAATATCTGGAGAGCTCGGGAATCATCAATGATAGACAATACGGCTTTCGCCACCGAAGATCTACTGGAGATCTACTTGCCTACGTCACCCATTTATGGCAAGCTTCATTAGAAAAACACGGGGAATCTCTAGCTGTCGCTTTGGACATATCGAAAGCATTTGACCGTGTTTGGCACGAAGGACTCCTCCACAAACTACCATCATACGGCTTACCACCTCAGCTATGCCATCTCTTATCGAGTTTTCTTTCAGGCAGATCGCTTCATGTAGTGGTGGACGGTGTATCGTCTGATACAATTGGCATCAATTCCGGCGTTCCACAAGGATCAATTTTGGCACCAACATTATTCCTTCTTCATATCAATGATCTGTTGGGAGTAACAACTTGCCCCATCCACAGCTTTGCAGATGATAGTACCCTCCATACAGCGTTCTCTTCCAGAATTCCTATTTCTTCCCAGGAAACTAAGAACACACGGCGCAGGCAGGTCAATGCTGTCAATGAAGACCTTGCTGAAATCACAGCCTGGGGAACCAACAACCTAGTTGAATTCAACGCCACCAAAACTCAAGCCTGTATTTTCTCTAGAAAGGCGGAACTCAGTATGCCCGACATTGTAATGTCTGGCACCACCATCCCCACCAAACCCACCATATCTATGCTCGGTATTTCCATCAGCAACACTCTTTCATGGGATAATCATGTCAGATCCATCGCAAAAGCTGCTTCACAAAAACTCGGGTTCTTGTTCCGTGCGAAATGCTACTTTACACCTCAACAGCTCCTCATGATCTACAAAGCGCAGATACGGCCTGTTCTAGAATACTGTTCCCACATATGGGGTTCAGCACCGAAACATACGCTGATGCTCTTAGATTCCATCCAGAGAAGAGCCATCCGCTTGGTGGGTGACGCCACACTCACTCGCTCTTTGACATCATTGGAACACCGTAGAAAGGTCGGCGACCTTTCACTTTTCTATCGATACTTCCACGGGAAATGTTCTTCGGAAATCTCTGCTATCATCCCTTCACTAGCAATACCAGTCAGACGAACTAGACAAGCCCAGTCAGCACATCCCTTCGTTGTCAACCTCGAAAGATGCCGAACAGCACTTTATCAAAACTCCTTCATCCATAAAACGGCTAGGCTCTGGAATTCATTGCCTGTGGAAGTGTTCCCAACAACATATAATCTCCAGAAGTTCAAAAAGAATTCCAATACCTACCTCCTATCCCTATCCTCCCTAGGAACGCACGATGTTCTTTGAACATTATAGGGATTCCCTCTCGTGCGCTCCAAGCGATAAAAAAAAAAAAAAAAAAAAAAAAAAAAAAAAAAAAAAAAAAAAGCATGTCAGACCAGTCGTCCCGATTGATTGCATGAATCCAATCTTCTTGCATTATTCTAGAAATTTCAGGTATATTTCTATTAGCTCTTATTGCAGAAGGAATTCCGATGAGGAATCAGTCAGAGAAATAACCAAATTTCAAAAATGAAAACTATATGTGAGTGACTATAGTAGGTACTTACTTTTAAATCATAATGTACCATCCGGATGCCTTCATCTTCCGCTGCAGATTTTGTGCATTTTACAACAGCACAATGTGATGGCATGAGCGAATTGATGAATAGCGGAAAAATACGATTCATATGCCAAAATAATTGTAGAAAACTATTTCGATCACTTGTAAACAAATAAGAAAAGTGACGTTGTGTTTCAATGTTTTGCCTCCAGTGTCGGTCATCTGACAGTTCTTGCACGCAACCCATTAGAAGTGAGGTTATATTTCAATGTTTCACCTCCAGGGTCGGTCATATGACAGATCTTGTTCGCACCTCATGTGGCGCTTTTTCATTAGGTATTGCGCCTTCTTGTCGGCAGCATTGCGCTATGTGTCTCTTCGACACCGGCAACACGGTCCGTAATAATAGAGCCAGTGGCATTCATTCCACTCACCTGATATCGCCAGCAATATCTTCCTGCGCGCCCCGAAAGCGTTAATCCCGATTTCCATGAGATCCTTGTCGGTGAGCGTGGGAAAAGTGGTCAGATCAATCTCGTGCGTGGTGAACACTCCGATGTACCTGTAGAGATATATTCAGTGTTGTGTTTGTACAATGGGAAAGTTTCCTTCAGATGAATTTTCATAAAATAAGTTCGGAACTCTCCAGTTTGATGTCTACACTGTGAAGAATGGCGACCGATGAAGTCCAAGTCGTTTCCATTTTCAAATTAAAGCAATTTCTAATTTTTGGGGCGCCAAACTGTGACATACATTCTGAATCTAGTCTGAAAGTGGCTAATGGAGAAGAATATAGCTAGCGAATGAAAAAAATAGAAGAAGTAAGTGGTAAACAAAAACATACATAACCACAAATGCACTCGGAGCAGAGGGTAGTTGGCTTCATTCATGGTTTTGTTATTTATGCATTGAAATATCTCGAATAGAGCCGTTACCACCGATACAACAAGGCCAGCAGACTCTGACGTAAACAGCTCGTGACGTCACCAAGAGAGGCCAGTGTTTTATTTTATCGCTTGTCGACTAACGCGTCAGTTCGTGTTAATTCATCGGTGATTCACGTATGTTTTTGAAACGGTCCCGAATTCTTTTGTTGTTTATTCATCAAAATAATTGGCGAAAAAATTACTGTTTTGTGAAATATTTTGTGTTGTGATCGGCGAAATAACAATGCCTTTCAAGTGTTGTGTTCCCTTTTGTCGGGGGAATTATGTGGGTGGTTCAAAAGTTCATGCTTTTAGTTTCCCGTTGGACGAGGAGCTATTGAAAATGTGGGTATATGCAATTCACCGCGAGGATTTTACTCCATCTAAGTTCAGTAGTAAACAGAGCTTAATTTATAATGATGAATTAATAATAGAAGACAATTACTCTCTCATAAAAAGTATAAGTAGAGGAAAAATAGAAAAGCTTTGATTGTGCAGTTAGTTTTGTATTCGTATATTATAGTCAACAAAATCATCTCTGAATTCGAGGAAATTTTCTTGAATGTTCATAATAAACGGGCATTTTCAATTCTCATTCTCAAATTCCTTTCTGAAAACGGTCATTTGCCTCGTGGCAATGAATGCAGAATTCATTCCAATGATCAAATTGCAACTATCATATTAACATGAACTACGAACACTCTACTTAAAAAGGTAAAACTGCATTTATCATGATATTTATCATGAAGATATTTGACTAAAAAGTTCCAAATTTCGCCTTCTTTTTCACCCTTCTTTTTTCATCATATTGGACAATTTATATATAATTCAACTATAAATATGATTTTCTTGAGATTAATCCATATTTAGTGAAAAGAAGGAAGAATATCATTCAAAATAATGGCGTGTGTAATTTCATTCGAAAGCAATCTATTGACATTTGACATCTCGTATTTTGATTGACTATTGATTAAATGGTCATCTGGAATGCTTGTTCACTAAAAATGAAAAACTCGCCATAAAAATCATATTTCCTGTTGAATTTTCTATATAAAAAGGTGCCATCGAAGTACATCATGAGTATATAAAGTGTCCAATGACAAAATAAGAGCAAGTAGCTTCAAATGCCCCCAACACAAGGGGAGAAAGAAGGCGAAATTTTGAACTTTTTCTTGAAATATCTCAATAAATAGTGGTTTGTTCACATTTTCATTATAAAATTCGGTTTATCAGACAAAAATACGTGAATCCCGAAAAAAATTTTCAAAAAAAAAACCATCGCATGATAAATGCAGTTTTACCCTTAAAAATTACGGTTTCACGTGTAACGATCCACCTGGGTGAAAAATCCAACAACAGTAAATTGAAAACACTCACTGGTTATTTTTTCAGGTAATAGGAATTCTCCAAGATAAATATAGGTAATTGTAACAAACGGCATGTCAATCAAAATAAAATACATTTTCCACAATTTTCTTTCGATCGATCTCACGATAAGTTTATGTTCTGCAGGCCCTGTATAAGTAGGTGTGAAGTTTACCTTCACCACAATTTTTGCCAATATATTTAATTCGAATGGGTTGCTGTAGGTGGATATTTGTGTTTTATCCTGGTTTTTGCTTTAAAACTTCGTTTTTCCATAATAAAATCGAATGGGGTGCGAAGAAGGGCTCAGTTGACGACTGGCATCCTTTTTTAACCGGAAGCCCTTCAAAAAACAGCAAAATCGGCTCAATGATGATCTAAAACTAAAATCGAAATACGCGGTCGCCTTATAGCGCTATAAGCGCTTGTCGTTTCGAGCCGCTGGTTAGGCCTGACTAAGTGACGTCACCCGCGGAGCATGCAGGCCTTGTTGTATCGGTGGTAACGGTTACATGCCCAACGCTCTGCCAATTGAGCCAACGGGTCGCCCGTCGATCAATCGGCAGGGAGGTCGTGTTCTCATCACACACCAGGCGGCAGAATCCCTCCTACTCCCGAAGTCACTCGAAATCATGCACTATTCGAAGCATCGCTGGCACTGCTGGCAGGATGGTACTATACAGTCTCCATATTTCCCCGTTCGTCCTCTGGCATTGTCTTTCCTTGTATACGGAAATGTCCGAAGGCAATCATACATAGGATTCAAGTCATAATTTTTGTCGGTTACTGAACCGAAAAGATACATATAATGATGAAGATGGAAAGCCCTTATTTCGAGTGACAATGGAAAATGAAAAAACGAATATATCACGAACCTCTCGAGGCCCAGCGAGGTGAGCATGCCGGCCAGGTCGGTCCACTCGGAGCACATGAGGCTGGCGACTAGGTGGCTGGAGGCGTGGTCTACGATGTTGCTGGTGCTGAGGGCGGGTGTTGGGGAGACGGCCGTCGCGGCGCCTGCGTCGCTGCGTTTGGGAGAGGCTGACGCCGCGTTCCATATGTCGTCGTCCTAGAATAATGATAATAGTTTTCATATTGAGAAGGAATATTCTCAGATATCAACTACGAAATAGCCACAATGCTCAAAGTGAAATGAATATAAATAAGTATAAATAATCGTTATTTCATTATTTCATTATGTTGATCATAGATTGAGAGTCGTTGATCTATGTGATGCTATAAAGTTTGACCGGTTGAGTGGGGAAAAGTTGCGCATCCAGAGCAGCCTTCTTGAATTTTCAAAATCATTTAGTTTTTCCATTATATCGAAAAAAGTTGAATTTTGTCTTTTTTTGTTAGAATAATAAAAAATCTAAAAATATTTAAGATTAATGTTTTTTTTTATCACTACGGTCCTGATTACGTGTTCACAGATTCGTAAAGCTTTCATATTTCTGAATACGACTAAGTATTATAACTAGAGTCTCGAGATCATACCCGTGTGTTCACCAAACACGCCCGATCGTTACCTAAGCGGTGGGGACTGGGGATACGTAAACAGGCAGCTTCTCTCGTTATGAATATTGGCGCGTGCCAGAATTATTTTGGAGTAAAATTTGTCAATCTAATGGAAACACTCCTGTAGTTTACGTAATTGTTGAGTTATTAGGATTCTGAAAGTGGGGACATCTTCAGTGATTATACACTGCTCATTTATTGTATCATTCTTGCTGCTGTGAATAGAATACTTAAGTAAGATAGGGGGTGCTTTCATGTAAATTGAAACAAAATTTGATTTTTCAGAACTGAACATTTCTCAGAATAGTCAGTGAATTGGACGTCCTGATTTCGAATACGAAGCGATTTTCAACCTATCTTGCCTCCTAATATCATTTTCCGGAAATGTTGGTGGGTCCATGACCCGAGCAGTGTATTTCACTGAAGATTACCTCACTTTGGTCATAGTTGATATATATATCTATCGCTCCTGAAAATTGAACAGTTACGTTAGATATACGGGTTGATTCCATTAGAAGTGACATGCACACTGTTTTTATTTTTAAATACATCCAGTGGGATTGAATTTTATTTTATGTTGAATATTAGAGTGTGTTTTTTTTATGTGATATATTTGTTTTGTTTATTTCAAATATATATATTTTTTTAGTAGGCATACTAGTACTTCTTTTATATAATTCTGAAATCTGATCCACCCTGTATTTGTTTCAATTAAATGGCATCAGTAGACAGTAAATAGAATATTAGGATAGGGACACATGTAAGCCATTTTGACAAATCAATATAGGTATGGTATATTTTCGATACTAAAAAATCTCGATTTTTCACATTCTACGTATAGGTATACCTTGAGCTTGATCAACGAAATCATAGCTCAATTAGAAGAATCGAAAAATGTAATGAAATATAAGGTGTTTCATTTTGAATAACAAAGCTGCTACTACTACTACTAACTACTAATAATAATTTCTAGTGAAGCAGATGAACATTATCGAAAATAATTTGAATAAATCGAACGTCATCGCCAACAAAACATAAGCTTATAATATGTACATATAGTTTCATGATTTTCGATGAGTGGTTCGCTATTTACATGTAGGACTCGTCGTGACATAGCGAATTATTGCAAATCAAATCATCGCTCTTATCATCCGATAGGTCGCAGTAGATCACTTGATGCCTATCAAATGTTTCTTATTTATTCGAAAACAAAAAAAAATATGTTGAAATGTGATCAAGAAAACTGTTGGTGGCCCACCCCGTACTACACTACAAAAACAGAGACAGCATGAGAGAAGCTGCCTGCCCACTCAATGTATCATGACTGCCTGCTTACGTCTCGGTCTCCCCACCGCTTAGGTAACGATCGGGCGTGTTCGGTGAACACACGGGTATGATCTCGAGACTCTTGTAGTATTATACAGAGTGGTTTGAATGTGTTTCGACCTAGTTTTAGCTATCATCAATGTTTTTTCGAAATTCCAAAGAAAAATTATGATCAATATCATTTATTGTGAAGAAAATTCAGTCAACACACTAATACATTATTGACTGGTTCTAATTATCAGGAAAATCTTATTACCTATGACAAGTTCCTTCTAATGAATACAAATACAATTATTTTTTCGATGTCTTCAGTTTTTCTAAGTTCAATCATTGTCGTTCTAGATAATAACCTAGTTAGGTATTTAGTAGGCAGGAGCTATTATACCTCCTCGCACTAGGTCGCCTACTAGGTTTTCATTTAGATCGACAATGGTTTAATAATGCGATAATTCGTTCTATCAAATAGATCAATACAGAATGAGACGATATTATGCTATGTAGGTAGTATAATAATAAGGTATGTGTTACGAAAGAGTAGGCGTTGAAAATCGATCAGAATTAAGTGAAACTGATGATATTTCTTTTCAGAATTTTGAAGAGACATTGATGATGGCTTAAATTGAGGTGAAACCCATTCAAACTATTTTGTATAATACATGATTGTATAACTTGTATTCAGACTGATAAAAGCTTCCAGAATGTATGAACGCACAACCAGGACAAGTCAGGACCGTATCAATAAAATAAATGGTTCTACGAAAAAGTTGCCATGGAAAAGTATTTTCAGTCTTACTGTATCTTTAATACCCAGATAACACCGATCTACTTGAGAAATGACAGCCGAGTATTGAAATATAAGACACTTCCCGGCGTCGAGGTGTCCAGGCAGCCGCCAGCCGGCCTTAATACACATTACCGGCGATTAAATTATTGATTTAGAAGTGCTACAGCAGTAACAAATTTCAATGCACCATTGATAGAAGCGCTCAGCCATCAACCTATATGCGCTTGTAAATCCGTATCAGGGAGAATGAGTTTTTGGAGCACTCGCCAAGTATCTGACCGCGAACTACAAACTGTGCGCATTTATAGTTTGTAGTTCGCGGCCAGATACTTGGAAAGTGCTCAAAAAACTCATCCTCCTTGAAACTGATTTGCGAGCGCATATACGATGGTGGCTGAGCGCTCCCATCAATGGTGCATTGAAATTTGTTGTCGCGATAGCAATTCTAAGTCAATAATTTAATCGCCGGTAATATTTATTAGGGCTGGCTGGTCGCCGCCTGGACACCTCGACGGCGGGAAAATAATGTTGGACCGATGGTTGGTATTATTTGGGTAATCACGTATCTATTTTCGACATACTTCACGAAAAACTATAAATGGTATGAATACATTTAAAGCTGTTGGAAACGACATTCGTAATGAATCAGTGCCTTGCGAAATTCTTTGGTTTGCCCGGTTGCCCGCCGGTCCTATTCGGCCCTGCCTTGAGGTTTGATAGTTATCATCCAAGAGGTGTGCTCTTACCTTCTTGCTCTTGTTGATTTTGTCTGCCAATCCGGCGGGGCTGGTGTGGCTGATGTAGTACCCCGACCAAGAGTTGTTCGGCGTGCGGTACGACCCGGCCACCGGCCTGCTCTGCATGGCCCTGAAGCCTGCTAGTCGCTTGCTGTCCACGTCACCGTAGCCCGCTGCGCCCTTGTCTGGGCGTGGCTCCCCCGTTTGGTGGTGGCCCGCTGAGATGTTCATCTCCGACAGCACTGACGATAAATCTGAAACGGAAAGTGGATAGTGAGAGTGCCTCGAACATCTCATTTTACGCCCTTTAAAGAATTGTGGACACACTTAATTATATTGTTGAACAGCTGAACAAAAAACATGAGACACAATAGTTATTTATTATACACTATCTTTTTCTGTGACAGAGGAAAGGACGAATCAATATTGAGAAGATATTACTTTATTTTGAAATCTGAAAATTATCGACGAGAAATTTTAAATTTTTAACAGTAGGGATACCTGCGTTGTAGGCATCTTTATCATTCTTTTGAAGTAATCAAATATCTGATGTCACTTCTATCATTCTAATTATTTGATTTCAAAAAATTGCGAATTTAGTGGTTGTTTAGTAATATACGTAACCGCCTAGTCGAATGGAAGATAAAAGGACTTGCAGTTCTTTCTCGGAGACGGTATTATTGACTCATTTTTCGGAACTATAGCACAACAAAAGCCATCAACAGTGTCACAGCCGTCTTCGAAGACGGCGTGACAGTGTATACAGCGTGTCCACCTTAAGGACTTACCACCCCTGTAAAATCGTTATTATCCGACCAATTTCAAAAAACCTCTTTTTGTTGGATAGGTATTTGAAATGCCCATCTAACGAGAGAGTGATCTAATTCTTGGACTGTTATCGTGGCCAACTGCGACAAATTTCAATGACCCATATTCCAGAAAGTACTATTAGGGATTTTTTTCCACGAAACTTGATGATGGATTCTGAATCAGTACCACTTGAAATATACCTGTACAGATTTTCATCATCATAAAACACAGGGTGTCCGAAAAAACGAATCATCATTTTCTTCAAATAGGTGATCAGCAAATGTAGTTGTGTGGTTTTTCTAGAAAGAAATAATCACAAATTATCATTGAGGATTATTTCAAATATACCTGTACCAATTTTCGTCATTTGAATATACAATGTGTCTGAGAAAAAAATTAAAAAGGATAGGTAAGCAATATTTTTCATCCTGATAATTCTCCACTCAAAATAAAAAGATGAATCAGGATCACTTGGAACATACCTGTACCAATTTTCATCATCATTAAACACAGGGTGTTCGAAAAATCAAATTAATATTTTTTTTGAGTTGATGAAAAAATATTGCCTACTTTTTCTTTTTAATTGTTTTCTCATACACATCGTATTTTTGAATGATGAAAATCGGTACAGATATGTTCAAAGTGATACTCAATAATAATGTGTCATCAATTCTTCTCAAAAATACCACAATACTACATTTTCTGATCACCTATTGAAAAAAAAAACATAATTCGTTTTTTCGGACACCCTGTGTTTTATGATGATAAAAATCAGTAAAGGTGTTTTTCAAGTGATCGTGATTCAGAATCCATCATTGTTTTTTGTGAAAAAAATTCCCTAATAGTACTTTCTCAAATATGGGTCAATAAAGTTGGTCGCAGTTGGCCACGATTACAGTTCATGAGTAAAATCACTCTCTTGTTGGATGGACATTTCAAATACCTATCCAACAAAAAAAGTTTTTTGAAATCGGTCAGAAAATAACAATTTTACAGGGGTGGTAAGTCCTTAAGGTGGACACACTGTATATATGTGATATATATCCGGGAAAAAAGTAATTTAAGTGGCATTTTATAACCTGCCAACAGGGATGAAATGCCAAACTTTTTTCCCGTCACATATTGTTTAACGAGCACGGGATGATAGTGATTTCCTATGAGAATGAAGTTTGCAGCATGAGCCATAGGCGATACCATTTCAGGTGACAATCAGCCACTCCCATTTCACCTGAAATGGGATTGGCTGGTTGCCGGGATAGAGCCAGCGACATCTCAGAGATTACATGTCGCAGATGTGTTTGCTTCTGTACATCGCAGCGATGAAACATTCGTAATATAGCAGTGTTTCCTCATTGCAACATCTCTGAACTGTCATGTCGCAGTGTTTCCTCAATGCGACATCTCAGATACATTATGTGGCAGATCGATGGAACGTTTGTGATATCGCCCTGTTACCTAAACGCGACATCTCAGAGATGTCTTGTCACAGATGTGTTGGCTTATTTAAAGCTATCTGAAATAAAACTGAAATAGGTGTAGATATAGGCGATATAGCTCGGTCTTCCAGTCGTTGCATTTCTATCGTTCGGTTTTCTAATGATGGTGTTTTTATGAATATTAGAGCTAATTCTGTCGCTTCCGTGTTCAAGAAAGTGCTGTAAACAATTGAGTTGATAATAAAAAACCGTTTTATGTGAAAATATTCAGAACAGAATGGTATTTTGCTAGACTATTTCACGTTCACGAAGCATAAAAAGCATTTTTTATAAAAGAGCGACCCATTCTGACAACTAAAGCTATAATTATTCAATGCCAAACTGTCAGACATTGAAATGGTATATTCTCAGATATATTTATGAACACACCAAAATGGATATACAAGGTGTTTTTGAAATAAGTGCACATATTCAGCACATCAAAATGATACAGTCTAAGGAATATTCCCATGATATCAGATTTTTTATAATTCTTTTAATTAACGAGAAATTTCATGCCAAAAATTGAACAAAATACGAGAAAAAATCAAGAACGCCACATTGAAACAACTTAAATGATTGAACTCCGCGTGATTGTGCCTACCGTATGGAAATTTCAACAGAGGTGACGTCAGATTTGCTACAGTGTAGGACTTTGGGTGGAACCTTACATTTTATTTTGATCTCTGAATTTTTTATTAGTGTCATTCGATAGTACACGTCGAGCTTTCTCAGTGTTTAAAATATTTGCACTCAATTCAATGTCACCCTGTATATATAAAGAAATACATTGAGAATTCGCATTCTCATGTGATGAAAATATCAATTCTTTCTCGGTTTATTCAACAGAAAACAACTACTTTCCTGGCCATATGCCACGAGGAATATTGAATTACATGTATAGAACACACACGATAAGAGTTCTGAAATGAATTCTTCTGAAGTAGAGAATTTGCATTCTTCTTCATGTAAAGATATGCATATAATATCATTCTGGATATTCAACAGAAAACAACTACTTTCCTGGCTATTTGCTACGTCGAACATTGAATTATATCTATTGAATATCCAAAAAGAGAGCATGAAAAATCCTCTGAAATTGAGAATTGACATTATCTCTCAAATTCTCTACTTCAGAAGATTTTGTTTTCAAATTCTTATCGTGTGTGTTCAATAGATGTAATTAAATATTCGTCGTGGCATATAGCCAGGAAAGTAGTTGTTTTCTGTTGAATAAACCGAGAAAGAATTTATATTTTCATCACATGGAGAATGCGAATTCTCAATGTATTTCTTTATATATATATATATCAATTTTTTTTGTGTTCATGAATATATCTGAGAATATTCCTTTTCAATATTCTCACCCAATCAAAGGGTTCGAACTTGAACGATGGAAACTTGTTTTTATAGACCTCAATCGCAGATTCGTGATTAGGTTTTCTCAATTCAGAATTTCTTTCCACGTCCTGAATGATGAATATCAATTTATCATACATCCAAAAACAAATGTCAGACTTTGTTTCGCTATCCATGGTTACATTGTTGAAAACACCAACGCTGATAGACCAATCAGAATTGAAAGACAGCTAGGGTTTTCGCGATAGCACATGCATGTTGTCTCTGGCTTGTCAGATTATATGACGAGTGAAATAGTCACTTTCAGGCGTTATTATTTCCAAAAGTTAGTGAGAACTGTTAGAAGATTTTAGATAGTTTTACCCATTTTGTGAGACTGCGAATCGGAAAATTGACGGTAACATGGCGATGTAGGAATCCTCGGACTGGACACGTTGCTAGATATCGAGCTGTTGTTGCTGGAAATTGTCGAGTATGTCGGCATTTCTCCACTTTGTTCCAGCGATAAGGAGCTGTTGGTGGCAAATTGGCTCTGATTCAACGAATGATATCTGTAAAACAAAAAATAATATTAATATTCCACTTATTCACAAGAAACACTTCCAAAAATGTCAGATCCATCTAGGTACTCTAACTACCAGCTGTCTCGAAGAAGATTTGACATTTTCTTTGACAGTAATTACCATGTAATTAGTCTACAACAATGTGCATCCCTTTTTTATTAAGACTGCCAGGTTTCTGGCTTGTTATAGAAGATAGAACCTTGCGGTTTTCACGTTTCTGTTCAATTTTTTGTGAACCTCAAGATGGCCTAATCAGCTTTTGCACAACCGAGAAACCTGGCAGTCTCAATTTAAATAGGATGCATTGTACAGGTTATATTTTACTCAAACTGAGATAGCTGTTTATATCAGTCTTACAGGAACGTTCAAATGGACAAAAGTGAAGTATTTTTTATGGGAATTCGGAATTTAGTACTAGAAAATGCAAAAAAGCATCGTAAACCTAACAATTTCACCAGAACTGGTATTTATAAATGTAACACCATGTATTTTATTTTTCTAAACAGTTGAGCTCTTTCTTGCGATTTTTAATATATACAGGGTTTTTCACTTGAAACTATCCGCACGCCAACATCTAGTCAACGAATAGAAATATTAAATTTCTGTAAAAAGTAGTCAATCAATGGGGTCAAGTAGATTTTTTTCCAAGTACAAAAAATGCAACGCCTACTAAGAGCTGAGCGTCACGACTCATCGAAAATATAAATCGATTGCATTGACTGTATACAGGGTGAGTCATAACAAATGGGACATGAGCTAAGGGCGGATTGTTTGTACCAAAATATGGCGATATAGTACCAAATATGTCTCAATATAATATTGCCGTGGAAAAAGTTACAGGACGTTTCAATTCAAGAGGTATTGACTATAAACTCGCACCAGAATGCATTATAGCTGACAAGAAATGTAATTCACCAGCAACAGTTATCTGACAGTGCAAAGCACACTCTTCGTTAATCAATCAATAGGTATTTAAAAATTTGATATCCCCTTCCGATACTTTGAACTGTTCAATATCATATATGTCATTGTCGGAAAAAATTCTGTTACTTTCATCAACAATTCGAGTTCCTAAAATGACCTGAAGGAGGCGAAGTTACTATGATATAACGAGAAATTCGAATTATCTCAGAAAATCGCTGTGTACGGCGAATTTGGATAAGGGGTATGGAAAATACAGCAATTTGAAAAATATTTTGTTCACAAGCTTTCCCCACCATTATTGTATTACGATAAATTAATGATCTTTCCATTTCTGTTATCAAAAAATTAACCCACACAGCGATTTTCTGAGATAATTCGAATTTCTCGTTGAGTAACTTCGCCCTACCGGTCAGTTTAAAAACTCGATATGATAGTACTCTGAATCAATATCTCATCGCCAATTTTTTTGATATATTTTTTGTCCAGAAGATGTAAGGTTCATATGGTTTCTATATAATATCGTTTCTCGCCGACCTTAGTGGGACACACTGTATATGTTTTTCGAAAGTTCTTTGTTATTAAGATATGAGAAACGGCTGCATTTTAGTTTAAATTGAGAAAAATGGTTCGTTATCAATGTACCAATGAACAAATACAAGAATAATGGTAATTTATACCTTTTCATGCAGTTATAGCTCAGAGTGAGGGGAGACGTATTCGATTATTGTGTCATTATAGAATATCTGTACCATTCTGGAAGTATAGTGTAGTCGTAGAGAAAGTATAGTACATTTCTCGTGTTGTAGAGCAATGACGCACTTGTGCAAGGTCGCTGAAAATATTGAGTTGTTTCCATTCCCCAACATTTTAAAAAATTGGGAGTTGCCCGGTTCTTGCACCGAGGTCTTCAATTGACGCTCTAGTGCAGGGATGGAAAAATGGCGGCCCACGGGCCAAACCCGGCCCTCAACATGATTCGATGCGGCACGCGATCAAAACGAGACATCAAATACAATATTATTGCATTGTGAGAAATGAAATAATTGAATTCTTGCGATTACAATCGAAGATGGACAACTTGTAAATAATTGAAGACTCACAATGGATTTCGGACTTCGCATTCTTCACAGATTTACTTGAATACTTAAACAAATTGAATAAAAGCATTCAAGGCAAAAATCTGTTTCTTGACCAAGCCTGGACCCAAATAAAGGCGTTCAAGTTGTAGTAGCGTTTGTTTTCAACGCAAATTGCACAAAGAAATCTCGCCCATTTTCCCAGGTTACAGACCGTAGGTGAATTGACTAATGATAAAGTTCATTTTTATGTAAGTCAACTCAATCGCTTGGAAAACGAATTCATAAGAAGACTCGAAGTAATCGAACTACAAAGTGATGAAACTCTGAAACAGCTATTCAACAACACATCATATCTTGATTTCTATAAGAGTTTAGCTAAATCTTATTTCCCAAATTTAATAAAACACTCTCAGAGAATCATGTCCATGTTTGGGTCTTCATACATCTGTGAGCAGGTATTTTCTACAATGAAGCTGGGTAAAAATGTTCTCAGAAATAAGATGACTGACAACCATCTTGAATGCGTTTTGCGGATCAATTATAGTGAAATAGAGCCAAATTTCGATGACATGATTAATAAACCTTCTACTTCCAAACAATAGTTGAATTGTTGATTGTCATAAATTATATTCGGCCCGCCAAAGTGTTGTGTTATTTCATACGGCCCCACTCTCAAGCTATTTCCCCATCCCTGCTCTAGTGTGTCTGGTGGTAGTGAGAATACACTCACCCGCTGCTCGCCATCGAGTGCTGCATCACGTTGAACACGAACTGCGGCTGCTGCACCATGCCGACGAACGGCGCCCCGCCCCCACCCATCCCGCCTCCCCCACTCTGCGCGGTGGGCGTGGCCTGGTGCTGCCACGACGGAGACGCGAGCGGACTGAGCAGCGGCGAGGCGGGTGGCAAGCGGATCACGGGGGCGGGGCCGGCAGACAGCGGGGCGGGGAGGTGGTAGGCGGGCGGGATGTCCGCCACGGTGGCCGGCTCGTCGAAGCCGAGGATGAGGTTCCTGGCTTTGTAGATGTGGCCTGGAAAACGGCAGGTGGTGGATAGTGTTCGGTTGTTTTATTACTACCATCGACTTATTAATCGATGACAATTTCGTGATGAGGTACTCGAGGTAAGTGGAATTTCCTGGTTTCCAATATACCCATATTCTTCTTCTACTGCAAACATTTTTCAAACATGGTGTCACTGAATGTCGATTGAATCCATCGATTTAATTTTCTAATAGTGGGGGCAAATATCTGATTCATGCTTACTACAAATATATTGAAATAATAGTAACATTTCAATTGAGAAAGATTGAAATTTCGAGGCACGAATATTCGAATTCCTCAATCAACCTACAGATATCGGGAAACCTAGAATCTCAAGACTCAGAGATTCACGAAGAGAACTCTTATATATGCTACAAAGCAAAGCTAAACTTGGGAGAAGGCGATTTACCTTTCAGATAGTCATCTAGTGGCAAAAGCATAGCCCGCGAATAAGTAGAACGAAGACCCCACGCCTGCGTTACAGAGAGGCAAAATGTCACCGCTCTGCAGACTATCACAATATCTGAAAAATCTCGAAGTAGTACAATGTCTCACTGATGAAGAGTGATGAGGAATCTAGAAACCCGAGACTTAGATATTTTTTGTAATAAATAATATTCTATATGAATATGGATTCTTTGTTTGGATATCCATTGACTGCTTTCAGTGTACGTCCATTAAACATCCGTACTTTCATTATATAGACGGCTCTCATGGACATCCACTGACTGCCTTCAATATACGTCTATTGAACATCCTGAATTTACGTCCATTGGACATCCTAAATGTACTTCTATTAGACATCCTGAATGTGCGACCAATGACCACCCTGAATGCACGTCCATTGGACATCCTGAATGTACGTCCAATGGACATCCTAAATGTACGTCCATTAGACATCTGAATATACGTCCATTGAACATCCTGAATTATGTACGTCCATATAGGATGTTAAATCCAGTGAGGCGCGGACGTTTCCTGGACGTTTCAATGTACATGACCACAGAATACTAAACAATCTGGACGTTCAATGGACGTCCATTATGTTCATGTTGTACATCCGTTGGACATTCATCGGACGTGCAGTCGTCTTCAGCGAACATATCGTGGTTGGACGGTATGAGCGCTCTTATTGCAGAAGTGATCAAGGGAGCTGACACCGTCCATGTACGACATGATCTCTGAGGACGACTGTACATGTGCTATATTATAATCAAGTGTTCATAAGGGCATCGCCCTAGCATCTAAAGGCACTAGCCGTTCGATATCTGAAGTTAAGCAGTGTCGAGTGCGGTTAGTACTTGGATGGGAGACCATTCGACTATTCGAGGAAACGTCGCGTAAGCCCGTACATCTGTAGCGGAATAGCATATCATAGCTACAGCTACCATATGAATGAGCACAAGATATGGTACGGATATGCCGTCCTTCGGAGAGGACGTTAAGCCGTCGGTCATGGATGTTGGACTCGTTAAAGATCCCTACCTCTGGTTGGAACACCAGAGGATTCGGCAAAAATTTCCGGTTGGGGGTAGTGTGCTCACCGGTGTCGGTGATTAGCCTCAGTAGCAAAAAAAGGCCGACGTTAAAGAAACAAGGAAGAAGAACTGTTTATAAGTCGTGACTCACCTGCATTCTTTTCGACCCCCTTGATGACGCACGCCCTCGTGTTCTGCTTGGCCTTCTGCCTGATGTTGATGGCGACGTCGCAAATGTTCTGGATCTCGTTGATCTGGTCGGGGCGCGTGCGCAAAGTGACTGATTCCTCGGGCAGGTCGAAGATGACGATGAGGGGCAGGCCGCCCATCAGCAGCTGCCGCGCCTTGTACACCTTGGAGGGAGAATAAGTTACAAGTGCGTTCAGATTTTTTTTTCTGATTTCAGACATTTATATTTCAGACTTTTTCTGATATCAGACAGTATTTATCCGATATGTACAAAAGCGTTGACGAGCCATTGGTATTGGTAGGTATTGGATGGTGATAGATGCGCTGCACCTAATTAGATCTATTGTGCCCCATCTGCTTCTGCTATATCAAGGATTCCTTGTTCATAGCAGCCCCTCAAGATTCAATTCCTTCAGGAATTTGAGGATTTCAAGGGGATCCAATTAGTTAATAGACGAGCCATTGTTGAGTGTAATTAATTTCATCTCCGAACTCAAACTTTATTTACTTGAATTAAGACTCTTTCCTTTGAATTCAGACTTCTTTTCCAGATAACACCGATCTACTTGAGAAAAGACAGCCGATTGTTGCAATATAAGACACTTGAAACGAGTCCTTTAGCAGTATTTCATAAATGACGGTAAAAACGCACTTCCGCAATTATAGTTCGCGGTCAGATACTTGGAGTGTGCTCGAAAAACTCATCCTCCTTAATACGGATTTATAAGCGCATATACGTATTGGTGGCTGAGCGCTACCATCAATGGTGTATTGAAAGGACCCCGCACCTTTAACCATTTACATTGAAATTTTGTCTACGGTGAAATTTTGTGAAAATCTAGGATTGGATAGATCAAATCATGCTGAACAAGAAATGTCCTTTGGTACAAGGTCCGTTATGCCCGTTAAAAGAAGTTATGAGCTCTTGAAGCCAAACGAGAACAGCATACATCCTGTGTATAATATGGTTTTGGCTAATATGATATTTATCGATATGTATCGACATATCGATATGTATCGATATATCGATGTGTATCGATACAAAATTTGTATATCGCTACATCAAACCCAGGCAACCAGATGACGAATGATCACGTCACTGTGACGTCCCTAATTGGTGATTTTTCGTCAGAGACGTCACACACCAATTTATGACGTCACTATGACGTACTTCGTATGACGTGCTGATCACGTCATCGTTTCGACGTCGAGTGAACGTCACTCAGATGGGTTAAAAAAGACGTCAGTTTCATGACGTTGCAGGGACGTCCTATCGACGTCCATTTTTTCCAGACTTTCTCTAAACCTTGGATACTTATATTATCATGTGAAACAGAAGTATACCTCATGAAACATGCAAGTTTCATTGGAATTATTAATGTCTCCAAAAAGTAGGAGAAAACTTCTTTCTAAAAAACTTTGACCCACACTGTATGTATCGGAAACCAACAAGCTATGTATATATAAAAATGATTGTCAAGGTATAGCTATATTGAAACCGTTACTCTTATGACGTCGCAGTGACGTATCTATGACGTCTAAAAATCACGTCGGTGTGACGTACCAATTTGGTGAGCTCCGTCATTTAGGAAATTTTTCGATAATCTACTATTTAGATTTTTGTGGGGTGACAAAGAATGCATCAATATATATTATTCAACAAAGTGAAGATAAATTCACATCCTTTCCATTGCTATCAAACTATTCTTTGTTTGCTTACATCTCGCCGACACAAACTACATAATTTCTTATACAAATACGAGTAACTGATTGCATTCTGATGGAGATGCGTACTGAAGGATGGCGCTGCTGAATAGGCGATTGATTGAACATGACACAGGAGGAACCCACCAAGCAGACTCAATAATGCATAATCAATATTATATAATATCATCAGAGGCTAGTGGTGTTAATCACACCATGTTAAAGGGATCTTTTTTAAGTTTCGTCGCCAAATTCAATCGTCATTTTGACGTCATTATGACGTCAGTCGAACGTCACAGTTTGGAGAGTGAATGACGTCAATACGACGTGAGTAATATGACGTCATTGGGCTGTGACTTATTCACGTCATTATCACGTCAATGCGACGTCAACTACTGACGTCACCTTGGTCATCCAAGTGACGTAAAAAAGACGTCACTGTAACGTCATCTGGTTACCTGGGAAGTTGGAAACCAAAACTACCCAGAAGTCGAAACCTGTGCGGGGTTATTAAGAGCGGGACCTACAGCTTATAGTGGAATCCGAACCACTTCTAGGGCATCGAGGTGCAGCCAGGATTACAACCATGAATCCCACATTTAAAAAAAATGTTCAGCCGATAGCCAGATTCGAACCGACAGTATCCTTCGCATCGTAAACGGTTATCTAGTGAATTTCAGCGCATAGACAAACTCGGCCGCGGCGTGAATTTTCAGGCATGTAGTCATTAGTCGAGTTATCTAACAGCATCTGTATTATTTGTTAAAATGAAAAAATCGAGGAATGAAAATCCGACTGATCATAGCTTTCTGTCCAAATTGGCAACATTGTCAAGTCCATCGTGCATTTTATTGGCACCCGCGAGAAGGTCAGGGAATCAGCAATCCAGATTTCTCGTGCACTGACAACACATGTTTCGCGGCCATGTCTGACCGTTTGAATTCGTTCGTTCATTTTAGCGTTTTCATTAATTTTTATACGATAACTAGATATAAAAAAAAATATTTCAAGGTATTCCAGAGCCATATATTTCAAGATATATGTTTCCTAGGAATGACTGAAAAGGCCCAAATGTCAGAAGTTCTAGGCACTATACTTATCGAATCATCAAGCTGCCCATCAGGAAATATCCACTGCCACCCATCTTACCTCGTCGATGCGACCGGATATGTTGACGTTGCTCTTCTTCAGCGTAGGGATGTTAGGATCCTGAGCGTCGGGGAACATGATTTGGCAGCCGGTGTACTGCATGATGACCTTCAGGTTCGAGTGGTTCTTTCCTAGGACCACCTGATGGTGGTGCGGGGATATCTCCATCGACATCTGGACCGGAATTTGGTTCTGGAAGGAGAGAGCAATTTGAGATTGTCACGAGTAGAACATACGGTATATCAGTAATTTCGAACCATGAGGGTTTCATAAAGATCAAGTTAATCAAATCATCCGTTGACATTGAACTATGAACACTGGCCAAGGAACTCTCATGAGAAACGTGCAAGTCTGAAAATAGTAGATTGTTTCATTAGGATCAAAAGTGACACTTTGTTTGACAAGCGAATTTCGCATTTGCGAGGCGGAGCGGTTAGCGAAGCCGAGCGAAGCAAAATTTGCGAGTCGAACAAAGTCACTTTTGATCCGAATGAAACATGCTTTTTTTTCTGCAACCGAAACAATTAACTCAAATAAACATGTGAAGTAACCACCGCAATGCCGTGCCATATGTATGCAATGCAACAAATATTGACAAATAATCCATGTGGTGAGAATATTCTACCTGCATTAACAGCAGGTTAGGTTTTCTAAGATGTTCGAATTGTAATTTCAATATAAATACAACCACAGAGTGACATATTATTTGTGTATGGACCAGGTGCTCTAATGGCAAATACCACGCCAGTGCCAGCTATAGGAACAAGACGTGGAAAATGTTAGGTTAGTGAGCATATCAACAATGATAATAGTGATTATTTATTCCTCTCCATACTACACTGTGTTTGACTTGATAATCAAAATGAAGCTAAACAATACCGTTGTTTAAGACAAAAAAAAACTATTGCTTGCCGTGATCATTCAAAAACAAGTTATCCATCCCAAGAATAACGAATGAAATACAGATCAAGCAAGTGTTTGAATCTTGAAGGCTTCCCTGATCAAAATAAAAATACTTAACTGAGATGTTTATAATTTCAATACTAAACTATAATAAGGTGTATTTATATCTCCAGCATGGCTTTTGAAATGCCAAATCTGCTGAAATCGAAAACAAATCAGGTATGCGTCTCAACCCAAATAACCAACCGTCACAATGTTGTTTATTCTTGAAGACGTCCAGTAGAGATCCTTTTTAGTTCCTAGAAGCTAAAGTTCAACTTTAGCTCCTAGGAACTAAAATTCAACTTTAGCTCCTAGGAACTAAATATGTTGCCTAGCAACATACCTATTTTTGTGTCAGTAATAGAAACGTCAATTTAAGAGCTAATTTTAGTATCAAAATGGACGACTTTTGTGTCGGTTGCAGAAAAAATAATGTATATGAATATTGGATGATCTAGTCTGGTCTAGGGCTACTCTTGACTTGACAAGAACTCGTCGTAATGGTCATTATAATGTAGGTTGTTATTAGGTCTTTATATTCATTGTTGTTTATTCATATTTGTCATCGCTACCCAAAATTTTTCATGCTTCAATAAATAAATATTGTTATGTTTGAATATAGTCTCGTACTTTCAACAACCACTAAACTATTAGTGCCTTTTTGAATATTACCTTATATTAATAAATCGATATGGGTGAAGTATACCAACCCCATATGTTGCGACATATAATGAAAATCCTACCGCTATGTCATGACATGGATGGACAAACCAACCCTATCATCGTTACATGTGGGAAACACCTCATATCATTCTCGCTATACAGGATGTTGCGAAATTCGACCGACAACGCTTGACAGGTGATAGCCCTCGTGATTCCATAATTACTGAGATAAGGATATACAGTCTTCAAGTGTTCAGTTCTCGAGATACAGGGCGTTGAAGTTGAGGAATTCAAATAGGTTTTTCGCAATATCTCAAGAGAAATTGAATATAATGCATTCAAATTCGGTATATGGTTTCATCTTTCAATGGTTGATTTTTTGACCAAAAAGACATTCCGAGAATTTTATCCAGAGATGCGCTACAGAGGGTTGTGATAACTTTTCCTCCCATATTTTCTACGCCACTGATGAAATTTCGATTATTTCCAATTTCTCGAATTGATTGTTCAATTATGTTGAAAAAATGCATCACCTTCAACTGAGCTAAAATGAACAGTTATCGAGATATTTGACCCAAAACAGAAGTTTGCATAGTAATTTTCCATCTTCCTCACTAGAAGAAAATTTAAAAAAATTCTGTTATCTCTTTATGCGTGGAATAATTATTTCTGTTCAGCTACAGAATGATATCTGAATAGTATCTAATCTACTTAACACCAGAAAATATTTTTACACTTTTCTACTACTGAAAATGATAAAATATTACTATGCAATCTTCTATTTTGGGTCGAATATCTCGAAAACTGTTCATTTCAGCTTAGTTGAAGGTGATGCATTTTTTGAACAAAATTGAACAATGAATCCGTGGAATTAGAAATAATTGAAATTCAATCAGTGGCGTATATGGGAGGAAAAGTTTCCACAACTCCCTGTAGGGCATCACTGGATAAAATGTCCGGAATGGCTTCCTGGTCAAAAAATGACCCATTCAAAGATGAAACCATATACCGAAGTTGAATGTATAATGTATTTAATTTTTCTTGAGATATTGCGAAACAACTATTTTAATCTCTCAACTTTAACGCCTTATATCTCGAGAACTGAACACTTATTGATGACCGTATATCCATCTCAGTGATTATGTATACAGGGTGTATACAGGGTGAGTCATGAGGAACTGTACATGCTCCTACTACGAATAGAGGCATCTGAGGGGAATACCAAATGACCATCAGAAAGTGTCTCCGCCTCTTCTAAAATAATCTATAGGGTGATTAATGAGATATGGCAAAAACTTCTTTCAATCATAACTTTCCAACAGTTCTTTGGATTTCTTTCATTTTTTCATGGATTATGATGCTGTCACTCAGCAATCAACTGACGTATTCAGAATCGTGAAAATCCAGGACCGGTCTTGAGAAATTCTGCCAATTTGGTCCATATAAAAAATTTCACCCTGTATGAGGTTTTAGTAAACTGTGATATGGAATTTCTGAAGTTGATGAACAGGCAACTAAAATGAAGTATTTCAAATTTTCCTCACAATTTCATTGAATTTCTTAAAAAATGATTAATTTAAACTACACACGAAACTTGGGCAATAAATGTATTAATTTGAAAATTAATACTTCGCAACGCATGAATTTCACGAATGAAAGTAGGGATAATATCATTCTCAATTCTTCAGCTCAACAATAATCAACATTCTTCTATTTTGAGGGTTGGATTCAGTAATTTTTTAGTAGAGAGTAATAATCACCATGCAAAAATTACACCCTGTATATGGTTTTAGTAACCTGTGATATGGAATTGTCAAAGTTGATGAACTGGCAACCAAAATTAAGTATTTCAAATTTTCCTCAGAGTTTCACAGAATTTCTTAGAGTACGATCAATTTTAACTACACGTGAAACTTTCGCAACAAATGTATTAATTTGAAAATGAATACTTCGCACCGCTAGAATTTCACGAATAGAAGCAAGAATAACATCATTTCCTATTCTTCAGTTCACTGAAACTCAACATTCATCTATATCCAGGGTTGGATTCAGTAAATTTTTGGTACATGGTAATAGTCACCAAAAATTGCACCCTGTATATGATTTTAATAAACTGTGACATGAAATGTTCGGAGTTGACAAACAAGAATCAGGAATAATTTTACCCTTACTTTTATTCGTGAAATTCATGCATTGCGAAGTATTAATTTTGAAATTAATACATTTGTTGCCCAATAAGTTTCGTGTGTAGTTTAAATTAATAATTTTCTAAGAAATTCAATGAACTTGTGAGGAAAATTTGAAATACTTCATTTTGGTTGCCTGTTCATCAACTTTAGAAATTCCATATCACAGTTTACTAAAACCTCATACAGAGTGAAATTTTTTATATGAACCAAATTGGCAGAATTTCTCAAGACCGGTCCTGGATTTTCACGATTCTGAATACGTCAGTTGATTGCTGAGTGACAGCATAATAATCCGAGAAAAAATGAAAGGAATCGAAAGAACTGTTGGAAAGTTATGATTGACAGAAGTTTTGGCCATATCCCATAAATCACCCTATAGATCATTTTAGAAGAGGCGGAGACACTTTCTGATGGTCATTTGGTATTCCCCTCAGCTGCCTCTATTCGTAGTAGGAGCATGTACAGTTCCTCATGACTCACCCTGTATATAAATTGAAGTGGGTGTTTATACCCTATTTCTATTTTCCATCTACGACAATGATTGATTTGACAGAAAATCTAACCTCTAAAATCGTATCTGACATTCAGGCGCTACTAGGGCAATTGAAAAGACAAAGATCAGAATATATTTCTTATTCTTTTACTCACTGAAACCATTGTAATATAGAAAATGAAAAGGACAGAAGTTCAGCTGTGTCCGAACTCTCATCTAACAAATACCATCCAGTGACTCTGAGAATACCTTGTATTATTCTGGATGTTGAGATTATGTTTAATTTGGAGAGAGAAGGATAAATGACATTTACAACGTAAGTTATGTTGGAAGCCAGAATGATGGATGTAGTGTGCGCATCAACTAGCCGGAGGCGCTCGTTTTATATGATGAAATTCGAAGGAAAAATCGCAGCTCTTACCGCTAGATTCTCGCACAGGAAATCCATGAGCAAGAGCGTCGCCGTTCTGACCTGGTCCACCTCCCACTCCACCCCCTTGACCAGCACCATGGTGGCGTGCAGCTTCGGCCTGGTCTTGAACATCACCTGCACCCGGTACTGCTCCTGGATCTTCACCACGTACGAGGACGTGGCGTCGACGTTCTGCGACATGATCGGCAGCTCGAAGCCGAAGATCAACGGTATAAGCTCCTGAAAATACAGCGTCATAATTTTGTCTTTCATTGTTAATTCAATTGTGTTGCCGTACAGCAATATATACCACTCGTCCTGACTTATCTCGAATATTCAGAACATCATGATGTTACTACGTATGGTAACAAAACTCATTCTACATCAGTCCCATCAGACCGGCACGATCGCCTGATTGGACACCGCTGGAATTTTTCTTTGGGGATATACGTTAAAAAAGTTGTTTCTTCTGTAACGGGAAACAAGTTTGAAATTTCATCTCTGTTGACAGGTTATATAATGCCACTTTTCATAATAAATTACTATTTTCCCGGATATATATGACACATTGTATATACATACTGTTGATGGCTATTTTGTTGTGTTATAGTTCCGAACACCCTGAATACCCTTTTAAAACTTCAAAGGACCCCGCCCATTTAGTACGGAAAATGGCTTTCGGCTAATTTTTGTAACTCATGTACAAAATGAGATACATTTCACGAATGGTTCATAACTGTTTATACAGGGTGTCCCATTGGGAAACGGAAAAACTTCAACGGTGGGTAGAGCTCATCAAGGTGGTACTGAATATACCATATTTGTAGGGTCTCGCAAGTTTTATATCCGAGATATAGGGTGTTTTATCAATTTTGTTCGATTCTTTGTGAGGACATAACTTACGAACCACCCAGTATATTCATTTGGAATTTGGTACACACTTTCGCTTTCTTTTACCAAAGCGACTCACCTATCAAGTAACGAGAAATCCAGGACCGGATCAACGAAAATTGATCATATATCTGGACACCAAAAAGAACACCCTGTATTTTCGAGTACTCAAAATCCGCTTACATATTTGGAAAGAGCACAAAAAGCTAAACCGAATGGTATACTTGTCATTTTCCCGCATGCAATTTCACTAAGGAATTTCTGATTTTTAATTCGAGGTTTTATGCATTTGGATAGGTAAAAATAATGTTTTGAAATTTCCCAATCGAATAACAACAATTATCACGAACCACCCAGTATATTCTTTTGGAATTTGGTACACGAGTTCTCCCTGACCTACCCAAGCCTATCATTCACGGGAAAAATCCAGGTCCGAATTAACGAAAATTGATTATATTTCTGGGCCCCAAAAAGAACACCCTGTATTTTCGAATTTCCATAATATGCTAACATATTTGAGAGTTGCACAAAAAGCTGAATCGGATTGTCTACTTTTTATTTTCATACGAATGCTATTTCACTACTGAATTTCTGATTTCGAATTTGAGGTTTTATGCATTTGGATAGGTAGAAATCGAGGTAAAATGGAAAGTTTTGAGTTTTCAGAATCAGAAATTAATCAGTGGAAGAGCATGCGGGATATTGAAAAGTATACAATTCGAATCATCTCTTAGTGAACTTTCCAAATATGGAATCGGATTTTGGAAATTCGAAAATACTGGGTGTTTTTTTTCGGGCCAGAAGATCATAATTTTTCATTAATCTGGACCTGGATTTCCATCCTGACTGAATAGGTGAGTCGCAGGGGTAGAAGAAGGAGGACTTGTGTACCAAATTCCAAAAGAATATACTGGGTGATTCGTGATAGTTTTTGTTATTCGATTGGGAAAACTCAAAACATTTCATTTTCACCTATCCAAATGCATGAAACCTCATATTCAAAATCAGAAATTACCTAGTGAAATAGCATGCGGAAAAATGGGAAGTACATCATACGATTCAGATTTTCATGCACTTTCCAAATATGTGAGCGGATTTTGGAAATTCGAAAATACAGGGTGATATTTTTGGGGTCCAGATATATGATCAATTTTCGTTGATCCGGTCCTGGATTTTTCTCGCTACTGATAGGTGAGTTGCTTTGGTAGAAGAAGGCGAAATTGTGTACCAAATTCCAGATGAATATACTGGGTGGTTCGTAAGTTATGTCCTCACAAAGAATTGAACAAAATTGATAAAACACCCTATATCTCGGATATAAAACTTGCGAGACCCTACAAATATATGGTATATTCAGAACCACCTTGATGAGCTCTACCCACTGTTGAAGTTTTTCCGTTTCCCAATGGGACACCCTGTATAATATACAGGGTGGGCCACCAGTAACGCCTCGGTCTCTAGAAGGCTAACCACTTATCTTCTTGGAATTTTTCCTCTCTAGGAAGTTGCATGTCAACATAGGCTACCATTTAAAATTATTTCGAAACATACAGGGTGTCCCCAAAAACCATAAAACACTGGTTGAACTTTTTTCTATCGACCCAGCATACTTGGGGTCTAGCAGTTATAATTACTGAAATATAGGGTGTGAAAAGTCGAGATTTTCCAAGTTCAAGAATTTTTTGTGTCGAAACTATTCATAATTGGTCAAAACGGCTTACATGTCCCTATCTCAACTTTTGATTAACTATCTACTGATATTTAATTGGGGCATATACCGGGTGATCAAGATTCTGAATTCTGCACCACCCTGTATTTGTTTCAATTAAATGTCAGTAGATAGTTGATCAAAAGTTGAGAAGGGACATGTGAGCCGTTTTGACAAATTATGAATGGTTTAGACACAAAAAATTCTTGCTAGACCCCAAGTGTGATGGGTCGTTGAAATCAGCTCATCAGGGAGAATCTCAAAATGAAATAATATATAGGGTGTTCGATAGAAAAAAGTTCAACTTCAGTGTTTTATGGTTTTTGGGGACACCCTGTATGTTTCGAAATAATTTTAAATGGTAGCCTATGTTGACATGCAACTTCCTAGAGAGGAAGGATTCCAAGAAGATAAGTGGTTAGCCTTCTAGAGACCGAGGCGTTACTGGTGGCCCACCCTGTATATTGAGTGGAAAATAGAATGTCTCATGAAATACCTCCAACAACCCCCTGAGTCACAACCACCCCAACGCATATCATTTATTCAATATAGTAGCCTCTACTTGTGACACCTCATTGAATAATACCACTGGAATGCATTCTCACCGAGCTATTGATTTTTTTGATTTTTGATATCGATAAATCATGTATACAGGGTGTTTCCTAGTTGAATGTCAATATTCGAGGAGGGGATTCTTAAGTATGACCTAAATGTCATAACTTTTGAGAAACAGGGTGGTAAATTGTTAACAAATAAAAAGTTTTTCATCAATATCTGTGATACCACTCTAGATATTATACTGATGAAATTTGGCATACATGTACTATGTATCAAAGAGACTCAGCTAGTTTATCAAATTTTTTTGTTGCCACCAGTGGCGTTCGTATGGAATTTCACATACCTATTTTAGCAGACATTGATGGTGCGCTACTGATAAATCTCAAAATTGAAATCATTCCCAAAATTTTCAATCATTTAGAAGCAAATTTGGTCTCACAATTTTTTCTATCTGATGCACGGTTTTTGCTTAAAAAAAATAAAAAGCTTTTCACTACCTACATGATTATAGCAATATCGTTAATATGACAATATCACAATGCAGAGAAATAGATTATATTCATTAGATCAAATTTCAGAAATACAATTCATATATAGTTTATGAACTTCGTATTGGTATTTTGGAATCATAACTTTTCATTGTAGTAGGCTATATTAAGTTTTAAGAACCTTATCATTCTTGGGTGTTTAAAAATGAGAGGCATTATATGCATTCACGATTTCTGTTTTCGGAAAATGGTCATTTCTTAAGAAGTTCTGAGACTATATTCTTCATTTTCATTACAATTATTTTCCGGAAGAAAAACATTTTCAAAAAAATTCAACTCAATATTCTGATGAAATTCAATGACTCTGATGTGAATGGATATCAGATATTCCAGGTACACGAATAGGATAACCTATAGGGATGTACCAGGCAGGATGTCCACTGGACAACCACTGCGGGACATTCCCTGGATACCCCATCATGTCCTTGTACCGCGGGACAAAAAAGGGACATACCTCCCAGCCAACCATCGTGTGACATCAACATCTGTGTGATGTAACAACCTTGCATAAATACAATATCTCGTGAACACATCTTATCGACGTAGATTCGATATCAACGTCGCAAAGTGACATCGCAACCAGGAAACTATGTAATGTGGCAGCGACTTCTTCAAACTACATCTCTTCGACGTTAACTAAATAATTCACATTGATATCCTCATGAGATATCTTTGTGACCTGTGAGTGTGACGCAGACATGCGCAAAACGAACGCACAGGCCAGACGCCATGTTGAGCTGTGCATGGCCATGTCAGTCAATCAGTCAGTCAGTGAGTACAGACTATTTCATTCCAAAGTCTCTGTTGAAATATCTGAGATGATTTATAGCACATATTATAGCAGCTTCAAATTGGAGGTATACAATCATTTAGGAACGACGGTGAGTTCAATCACAATAGGTATATTGTTATTATCTCTAAGATAGGAATATTGCAATCTAAAACAAGTTGGATGAACAAGATTACTAATTAGGGTGATATGTTTTGTATCATCTGTTTTTACTTACGAAAAATAAACATTTTCTTCGTGAAGTTGAATAAATATTATTATTATATATCCCACGAAAATATCACAGGTACAGCGATGTCGCAGTGTGATGTATTTGTAATATGAAATATACTCTTGTATGTGACCTGGTAGTGATGTATTGCTTGAGTCGGACATTTTCACATCGCCACGTTGTATCGGTAACATGTTTGTGACTTCAAATGCGATATCGCATGTCACAAAGTGATGTGGCGTATACATCACTAATACATCTCATGGTTGGCTGGGCTAGGACATTCCTGTGTTGTTAGGGATTTGAATCGAAACTTACTCTCACACGGCTTCTGGCACTCTCGACTCCTTCGATGTCTCCCGATATGGACACCTGGTTGCTCTTCTCGGTGGGATTGGAACGATTGGAATCGGGAAAATGCACGTGGCACTGAGTTTCCTCCATAACGCGTTTGATGCTCAAACCACCTTTCCCAATGATGTGCGAATGATCTGTATAACTCACATCCATTTTCATTGTTATTCTATTACACTGAAAGAAATATCAACGTTAGATGATCGTTTAAGTTTTTCTCGCCTATAATACAGGGTATGTCACATCGAGCTCACACTATCTTCATATCGAGATCCATGGAATGAAATACGCTCTTCATTTAAAATATTTTCAGTAATGCAGTGTTGCCGCTTCTATCGATAAAGGATATGGTTCCTTAGCTCATTTTAAGAATAAAAGTTCATATATGAACATATGTCCCAAACCTGTTAACCTTCGACCTAAAGGGTGTTGAAATTTTAGGAAAAAATTCGTTTTCTTAATATAACTTCAATACTGTTCTAGATATTTTCATGGCATCTACCTACCAATAGGCATTTTTTGATGCAGGAGATGTTTTAATATTCATACCAGTGGCGTCCGTTTGGTATGTATATACTGGAAATTTTGAAAAAAAATGTTGTACGCCCTTGATTTTTTCGAGAATAAAACTCTTCTTTGAAATCCTCATTTATTTTGCAACAATTCAATTTCCTGATTTGTTTTCGTCCGACAAACCGTTTTCGCGTAAAAAAATGAAAATTTTTTTCATGCATTATTTGTGGCATAACGAAATAATGACATTCGATCGATTACGTTGCGTTCTTATTTAGACAAGTATTCATAAACGTGACAGTTTTTTTTCACATTGTGAAAGTTTCTTTGATCAAAAAAGAGAAAATAAAATTTCAACACTCTATAGTTCGAAAGTTAACAGGTTTATGGCATGTGCTCATATACACTTTTCTTCTCAAAATGAGCTGAGGAACCATATCCTATATTTTCAGTAATCAATTGAATTACACCCTGTGTATCTCTGTAATCATTCCCGATACACCCCCAAGTGTGATATATTGATAAAATGCGCTTTTCTGGTAGAATCTAAAAATTTGCTGATATACAGGGTGTTCCATTGAAAAAAAGAAGTTGATGTCACTTCCGGTTCAACCGGAAATGCCGCCATATTGAAAAAAATGCCATTGAAAAGAGCTCAAACGATAACCCTTATATACAAATGTTCAGATCAGTGTCATTTCTAAAACTCCAAATACGTCTAATGTACAGTTTAGACTAAACAGAATGTATTGTGTCACAAGGGCAGAAAATGAGCTTTGCAGCCTGCGGCTATTATCTGCACGAGCGATCGAATCCCATTTTCTGCCCTTGTGACAACAATATACTATGATCTCTTTCACCGTTGTTATATTTTGAGAACCACCTCGAGCCTTTATATTGAAGCATTAGACGGTAAATCATAATATGTCTATACTAATATTATATAAAGAGGAAATATTTGTTTGTTTGTTTGTTTGTATGTATTGAATAGGCTCCGAAACTACTGGAACGATTTGGCTGAAAATTGGTGGGGGGGGGGGGGGTAGCTTAGAACCAGGAGGATACTTTTTTCCCGGTACCATTAGAAAATTCGAGATGGCGGATCTAATATATCGGATGAGTTTTGTAATTATGGTCCTATTCTTTCAAAATTGGTATCTGGGGGTTTTCTGGGTCGATCGGAGATTATGATTCTTTCGCCGGAATTTGAAAATTTGGGTGGAATTTGGAAATTCAAGATGGCGGATCCAAAATGGTGGATTTTATAATTAGGATCCGATTTTATTCAAATTTGGTATCTGGTGGTTTTTGGGGTCGGAGATTATGATTTTTTCGTCAAAATCAGGAAATTCAAGATGGCGAACCCAATATGGCGGACGAGTATTGTAATTATGATCCGACTCTCTTCAAAATTGTTATCGGGGTCGGAGGTTATGATTCTTTCGTAAAAATTTGGAAAGGGCGGGATTTGGAAATTCAAGACGGTGGAACCAATATACCGGATGAGTTTTGTAATTATATACCGATTCTATTCAAAACTTGCAAGTGGGCGTTTTCGGGATCAAAAATTATGATTCCTTCATCAAAATTAGGGAATTCAAGATGGTAGATCCAATATTGCGGACGAGTTTTGTAATTATGTTCCAATTCTATCCAAAATTTTCATCATGGGGTATTAGGAGTCGGATATTATGATTATTTCGACAAAATTGGGAAATTCAAGTGAACTAGAAAGAAGTTAAAATAAATGGTAGATAGAAAAACTGAAGAAACAAGCTTCTGTAGATAGCGAAACTAAAAAGAAGTAGAATTTGAAATATAATAGTATCTTGATGAATATTGAACTGAAAAAAAAAATATTATAGAAATAATGTATATAGCAAAACAACGTTTGCGAGGTCTGCTAGTTTCAAATAAAGCACATTTTATGGTTGAGTGTGAGTGAATCCTTTTCTACCACGTTGAATAACTTACTCTAGTGTCTAAAATTGTCATAATTCTTTCTTTAGCAGCTTTCACATCTTCTGGTCGGCCAGCAATCCTTACATGAGGATCTGAAAATGGAGTAGAACATTATAATTAGATAATCGCTATAGGGTGTCAGGTCGGGTATAGCCATTTTACCTTTTTTTGATTTTGCTCCAATCTTCAACTTATTTGGCCAAGTGATATGAGTGTCTGTATCTTCCATGATTTTCGCAAAAAATACGTCTGCTGGGATGAGAGCCTCATTGTCACCTAAAATGAAGAATATATTCCCGTAATATACACGGTATTTGGGAGATGAGTGCAGATAATTTGAGGGCGGGCTAGATATGGGGTGATTCAGGATTCAATCTGATCAACTATCTTATTATCAAAAGTCAAAAAGTTTTGTATGTCCGTCGATATTCGCTGTTTTGGAGTTTTGGTTAACTGAAACATGAAGTTTGAGGGAATAAATATATTTATTATACAAGGGAAAAAAGTAGTAGATTTTAGCTCCAGGTTGTGTTGTCTCCCGACGCGTAGCGGAGGAAACAAAAAACCGTGAGCTAAAATCTTATATTTTTCCCGTGTATAATATACACTTTTTTTCTGTGATGGAAGAATAAAGGACGAATCAATATTGCGGAGATATTACATTATTTTGGAATCTGAAAATTATCGACGTGACATTTTAAGTTTTTAACAGTATATATATCGGGACACCTGCGTTGTAGTTATCTTTATCATTCTTTTGAAGTAATCAAATATCTGATGTCACTTCTGTCAGTCTAATTCTGTGATTTGATTTCGAAAAATTGCGAATTTAGTGGTTGTTTAGTAATATATAGGAAACCGCGAAGTCGAATGGAAGATAAAAGAACTTGCAGTTTTTATTTCTCGGAGACGGTATTATTGACTCATTTTTCTGAACTATATCACAACAAAAGCCATCAACAGTGTATATATATACCGGGTGGCTACGGAAGTATTGCCTACGGAATATCTCAGTTATTGTATGAAGTAGGTTTGTGAAATTTGGAGCGTCGATATAATGACATAAGAGCTAGAATTTTAGCATATTGACATGTCAAAGTTAACTTCCGGTCTGACCTATTTTTTTTTTCTTTCCGCTTTATTCAGCATTCAATTCCCTTTCTAATGACATATCACAATTTGGTATCTAACCAGAAACTAGATCAGAAAAAAATTATTATTGAAATTCAGCGAGTAGGTGGTGGAAGCAAAATGAAAGCCAAAAAATGGCTTTCTATTATATCATTAGAAAGGAATGGTTATGCTGAATAGTACAGGCAAGAAAAAGTTGTGTGTTCCTATTTAAGTTATGGACCTACAGAGTATTGTTTTTTCCCAATTTTTCCAATATTTTTTTGGCGGCTTTTTATAACGCCGACGAATGAAAATGAAATATCACAGTAGTAGCAACTGTTATCAAGTGACGTATGGTTTCCATAGCCAACTTTTCAATTTTTGACTTTCATTTTGCTTCCACGGCCTACTCGGTGAATCTCAATAATAATTTTTTTCTGATCTAGTTTCTGGTTAGATACCAACTCGTGATATGTCATTAGGAAGGAAAAGAAAAAAAATAGGGTTTCCGTTTAAAATAAGAAAGTTGATGTTACTTCCGGTCAGACCGGAAGTTAACTTCGACATGTCAATATGCTCAAATTCTAGCTCTTATGTCATTATATCGACGCTCCAAATTTCACAAACCTACTTCATACAATAACTGATATATTCCGTAGGCAATATACTTCCGTAGCCACCATCAGGTATATGTGATATATATCCGTGAAAAAAGTACTCACTTTTTTCCCACGGGGAAAAAAGTAATTTATGAAAAGTGACATTTTATAACCTACCAACAGAAATGAAATGCCAAACTTTTTTCCCGTCACAGAAAAATAGTTATTTATTATACAAGGGAAAAAAGTAGTAGATTTCAGCTCCAGGTTGTGTTGTCTCCCGACGCGTAGCGGAGGGAGACAACAAACCGTGAGCTGAAATCTAATATTTTTCCCGTGTATAATACACTATTTTTTTCTGTGACAGAAGAAAGGACGAATCAATATTGAGAGATATTACATTATTTCGAAATCTGAAAATTATCGACGTGAAATTTTATGTTTTTAACAGTAGGGACACCGCATTGTAGGCATCTTTATTATTCATTTGAAGTAATCAAATATCTGATGTCACTTCTGTCAGTCTAATTCTGTGATTTGATTTCAAGAAATTGCGAATTCAGTGGTTATTTAGTATTATAGGTAACCGCGAAGTCGAATGGAAGATAAAAGGACTTGCAGTTCTTTCTCGTAGACGGTATTATTGACTCATTTCTCGAAACTATAGCACAACAAAAGCCATCAACAGTGTATATATGTGTGATATATATCCGGGAAAAAAGTACTCACTTTTTGCCCACGGGAAAAAAGTAATTTATGAAAAGTGACATTTTATAACCTGCCAACAGGGATGAAATGCCAAACTTTTTTCCCGTCACAGAAAAAATAACTATTATTTTATTATTATTATTATTATTATTATTATTACAAAAATGATAAGAGCAGGAGCCAGAGGCTCATAATGCTCAGGATAACGAAGTTATGTAACAATTTGTGCCCTATAGTCAAATAATTGGATGCATTGGATGCTTAGAAAATAGAGAATAAGAGAATAAGAAACCAAGTATGAAAAGTACTCAATATGTCGATATTAGTTATTGTTCATATGGTGGTCCAGGCGGCTTTTGAACGAGTTCAGAGATGGAGCAGAAACAACTCCATTGGTTAAAGAGTTCCATTGATTGACGACGCGGTTGGAGAAGAAATGTTGTCTTGTCGAAGTGCGAAAATTCTCTTTGCGCAGTTTGTAGACATGCCCACGAAGCCGAGGGTCCGTATCTAGATTGAAGAAATCTTGACCAATGAAGAAATTGCCGTGCAGGGTACGGTATGTGGTTATCAGGTTAGGTTAGGTTAGACTTTCTAAAAAAGTTTGGAAATAGTCCTGTTGCTACAATGAATGGGTCGAGAATGAGGTTATCAATATGAAATTATAATTTCCCACTCAAAAATACATCCGGATATACAGAACTTCGTGCAAGAAATTATTTTTGCGGAAGTAATTTTTTGTAAACGGCAGAAAAAATTAATGTCTACACTCTTTATCTCCTGAATGAACCATTTCCGGATACAAGTTTGAATAGATTTTTTTTCTCGAAATTCTCTCAGAAATGCGACGTCACTTGTATATTTCAACGCAGAGTAGGTACGTACTTATACAGTGTGTCTCATTTATAATGGAAACACCCCGCCAGTTACAAGTGACTTTCAGCAAGGAAGCTTTTTAAAACACGAAAAATCTTTCACAGGGTCTTTATTCACTTGCGAACAAGACAAACAACAGGCAAAGACTGAATTCAAATATATGAAATGCTACAGAATGTAAACTCATTGATGATGAGTTTGCAAAGATGACAATTTAGGCTGGAAAGAGTCTTTAACTCGCCTGTATCTTACGTAATCGTTGGGTAAGGATCTTGTAATTTGCTGGAGCGAGAGATATACCAAAAATGCACTCTATGACCAAATGGGGTCATCTTCAGTGACTTACACTACTCGCCAACAGCCATGGAAGCATCCCAATTTCCGGAAAATCATATTAGGAGTAAAAATCTGCTGAAAATCACTTCGGATTCGTAATCAGGGCGCCCAATTCACTACCTACTACTTTTTCATTGGTTTCTTTCTTGCTCTGAAAATTTGAGACGCCTCTACATCAATAATTACGTAAGATACTGGGGTGCTTTCATGAAAGGTGAGACAGAATTCATTATTTCAGAACTGAACATTTTTCCAGAAGGAATATGAGTAGTAAGTGAATTAGACGTTCTGTTTTCTGTTCTCAAATCCGAAGTGATTTCCAACCTATTTTGTCTGCGAAAATCATTTTCCGGACATGTAGGTGGTTCCATGGCTGCTAGCGAGCAGTGTATATTACTAAAGGTGATATTTCAATTGATGATTGACTGTATCTTTGGAATATTTCTTGCTCCTAGAAAATTTAACAATCCTAACTCGATAGTTACTTGAGATACGGGGGCGTTTCCATGAATAGTGAGGCAAACATTACATTTTCAGGACTGATTGTTTTTTTTCAATATGAATAGTTAGTGACTTGGGCGTCCTGATTCCGAATCCAAAGTGATTTTCAACCTATTTTGTCTCCTAATATTATTTTCCGGAAATTGTGGTCGTTCCATGGCTTTTGGCGAGCAGTGTATATCACTGCAAATGACTCCACTTGGCCATAGAGTGTATTTTTGGTGTATTACTCGCTCCACCAAATTTCAGGATTCAAACCCACAGATTACGTCCCTAATAACACACTTATGTCCCATGGATATCCTTAGGACGTCCTGTCCATTGGACGTCTGTGGGACGCACAAATGTCCCACTTGAGGACCAACTAGGGACGTCCTTGAGGGATGTCCCTGGGACAACTATCGAATACCTAAATCCTGCAGTATTCCTCATCGAGCACTACAGAGGACATCCTTAGGACAACCTATCAGCAACGCTGAGGGATATCAATTGGATGTCCATAGGATGTCCCAAGGACGTACGGATTATTCTTGAATTCGAATTTTTCTGGGTCCCTCTAGGACCAGATCTTGCATTACTGATTAGCACATCCAGTTGAGTTGATGGTATCTGTAGAAGATCCCCAAAATGTTTCTCAAGGATATGTCCAATGGACTTACGTGAAGGACATTGACGAGGAGTACTTATAGCCTACGAGCAATCATTCGTCGGCAAGGTAGTACAGTTCATGTACCAATTTGGACATCCGACGGATATCCCTAAGGGACATTCGACATTCGAGTTTTGGTCGATTTTTGTTGATTCTCCATGGAAATGTATGTGGTGTTGGCAAAGTGCCGTGAGAAAAAATATTTCGGTAAACCTGCATTTAGCATGCGGTGGGTTTTTTTTTCGAAATTTTTTTTGTACTTACGTATTATTGTCTGAAAAACACGAATTTGATAATGAAAATGTGAACAAACCATTATTTATTAAGATATTTCACTATGAAGTTACAAATTTCACCTTCTTTTCCGCCTGTCTTTTGGATTGCATTTGAAACAATTTATACCCTTCTTTTTTCATCATTGGACAATTTATATATACAGGGTGTTTCAGTTTTTTGTAGCAGGACTTTAACAGCTTGAAGAAGACATTTTTTTAATACGAAAATCTCATATAAACATATATGCGGGGAGCTTCGTTTCCGATTTACAGGGTGTCAAAGTTTCAGATTTTTTTTATGTTTTTTGAATTTCCTCTTACAATTTTCGGAAATTTGGTACACCTAATACACTTCCAAAATTCAATATTTGAGGCTATTGAGCGTTTTTGAATACCTACAGGGTGATAGACTTTCAGGGGTCGTACCCAATTTAACCCTGTAGAACTTTTTTGCGTGCCGCCTCTGCTTTCAATGGGACATAGATTCAGATTGTCACTGCAATTTGGAAACTTTTTGCCCCCATGTATGTTTTGCGAAAACTGTATGGATTTCGAGATGAATAAAAGTGGAATCCGAACCACTTATTACTTCGCTGCTTACTTCTAAGGGTACTGATAAAATTAGAACTGCCGTTCAAACTCAACACCTCAACCGTCAGAAGCGACAGTCTAGTGATGTATAGCGCCTAGACCGTGTGTCATAACAGTCCCTGATATCGAAAGTTCAACCAGTTTCAGTTATACAGGGTGTCCTAGAATGTTGTACAATACAATTTCAGATTTTGAAATCCAGTTAGAGAAGTTTTTTTTAAATAAAAACATTTTTTCTTTGTTTTCCTTAGTTTCAATTATAATGGTGTTCAAAAAATTCAATCTGATTTTGCAACTGTATTTCATTTGGTATGGAAGCTTTCGGTCATTCATTTTCCAATAAAATGTTTGAGAAATGTCAAATAAGTGTGTTTGAGAAATAACGGTTATATTACAAGTAATTTATTTTTGGCATTTATCTCAAGATCCACATACAGTTTTCGAAAAATTTACAAGGGGCAGAAAGTTTCCAAATTGAAAGGACAATCTGAATTTATGTCCCATTGAAAGCAGAGACGGCACTCAAAAAAGTTCTACAGGGTTAAATTGGGTACGACCCCTGAGAGTCTATCACCCTGTAGGTATTCAAGAACGCTCAATAGCCTCAAATATAAAGTTTTTGAAGTGTATTAGGTGTACCAAATTTCAATCAATTATTCCGAAAATTGTAGGAGAAAATTCAAAAAACATAAAAAAATCTGAAACTTTGACACCCTGTGAATCGGAAACGGATGTTTGTATGAGATTTTCATCTCAGAAAAATGTCTTCTTCAAGCTGTTGAAGTCCTGCTACAAAAGACTGAAACACCCTGTATATCACAATGTAAGACACATTTTTTTCTATTATTGAGTCAACTAGAAATATGATGTTCTTGTGATTTATCCATATTTAGTGAAAAGAAGGAAGAATATCATTTAAAATAATGGCGTGTGTGTAACATATACATATTAATAATCAATACGGATAATCTCTATCTGTTTCCATAGCGAAACATGAAGCCGATTTTTGAAGACAATAAATGACTATCCATAAGGAAAAGTTTTGAAACGATCAGACACAGACTGCTTTGATTGAAAGGCTAGTAAACGTCATTGTCCACCGAAACGCATGTCTTTGATGACTACTATATTAGCGCATGGCGCATGCGTATCATGCCACCAAATCCTTATGGATATTCATTTGTTTCATATTTTTGGCTTCATCCTGGCACCCGTTATGATCCGTATTGTTTATTGTAATGTCATTCGAAAGCACTCTGTTGACATTTGACATCTCGTATTTGAATTGACCATTAAATGGCCGTCATCTGGTATGCTTGTTCACTAAATATGAAAAACTCGCCATAAAAATCATATTTCCTGTTGAATTTTCTGTATAAAAATGTGTCATTAAAGTACATCATGAGTATATAAAGTGTCCAATGACAAAATAAGAAGAGCAAGTACCTGTAAATGCATCCAACACAAAAGGGGATAAAGTAGTCGAAATTTCGAACTTTTTTTTGAAATATCTTGATAAATAGTGGTTTGTTCACATTATCATTGTCAAATTCGCGTTTTTCAGACAAAAATACGTAAGTACCAAGAAAAATTTTCGAAAAAAAAAACCCATCGCATGCTAAGTAAATGCAGTTTTACCGAAAAAATATTTCTCACAGTATGAGCAATACATGGTTTTGAAACTAAGTTAGCTATGAGAAATGCGCTACTTTTCATAGCAGTAGTAGAAAAATGCAGTTTTACCCATTTTCATTATCAAATTTATGTTTTTCCGACATAAATTCGTAAGAACCAAAAAAAAAACATCGCATGATAAGTGCAGTTTTACGAATTACCGGTTCCAATGGTTCTACACCAACCTGTCAGCATTTGTTCGAGTTTTTTCCTGTCGACTCTGAATCTGTCCTGATACAAGTCCGAGACGTCCTTCAGTCCCAATTTCGTTAGAAAGTCCCTCAATTCCTCCTTCGAGTCCCAATTCGAGTTCCATTCCGATGTGCCTGTCCCGCACTCTGATACCTCGGAAAGCGTATCGGAGTTTCTGTTCATGTCGAATACCCTGCTGGGTAAAAAGTTGCACGCCGCCATTTTTATAAATTATTTTTCAATACTCAAACGAACACGAACACGACGATAATAATATATACTCAAAAACGATTTTCACAAAATAAATAACACGATGAATAAATTTAAAATTAATAATGTTTAGGGTGTAGTTTGGAAGTTTCTTTACAGGTCACTCAATTTTTGTGTGTTGTCTTTAGGTTGAACGCGTTTTGGAAAATTTTGAGTAAGTATTCGAGTGACCTGTAAAACGCGACTAACAGGAGAATTTGGCCGCTGCTTTATTGCTTTGGTTAGGTTCTACAGTTTTTTGTATGTGTCAGTTTTTGTCGTTGTTGCTATCTTTTTCAGTTTACGGAGAGGACTAGTTTTTTCGATTTGTTGGATTCTGATATAGATATACAGGGCGAGTATGTAAGTGGAGCCAATGTGGGTGGATATTATTTTGGCAGTAATCGTGACCACTAATTGATAAATGGGTTCAAATTTCAAGAAGCACTAAACAATAATAATAATAATAATAATCATTTATTTTCCTTCTGATAATACAAGTAGGTATTATATAGGAATAGTCAATGTCAAAGTCAAAAGACTCAAGAGGAGAAAAATTCTCCTACACTATAAAAGCATTTTCCAAGTAAGAAACATCTTAGTTTTCGTTTGAACAAGGAAATGGATACAATATTTTTTTAAACATCAGGTAGATGGTTAAACATTTTTGGTCCTATATGGTTTGGAGCAACAGAAGTTATTTATATTTGGCATATGGTATATATGAAATAAGTTTTCACTTCTAGTATTGATATCGTGAATATTCTTATTAACTATGAAATTATGTTTGTTTTGAAATACATATACACATGTTTCGAAAATTAAAATGCATGGCAATGGTAGAATGTCATACTGAACAAACAGATTCTTGCATGATTGCCTCTTTGACACCCCACCTATACAGCGAATAATACGTTTTTGGGTGATAAACACATTTTTTGCCATTGTGGAGTGGCCCCAAAGACACACACCATACCTCAGTCTGGAATCCACCTGAGCGTGATATAAAGTCAATAACTGATTCTTTTCAAGCACAAAACGTAGATTCATGAAAAGATATGTTAGGGAGCACAATTTCGAAATTAACTGAGAACATTGTGGTTTCCAGTCAAGGCACTCATCGAAGTTGATGCCTAAATATTTTATGGGGTCACTGGTGATCTTCAAAGTCTGGTTATTGTAAGGAAATAGAAGTGGTTCAATAGCATTCTGGCGATGGTGAAATCGTAGAATTTGCGTCTTATCAACGTTAAAAAATAAATCGTAATTATTGAAGTAGTTTGATGCAAAGGTTACTGTATCACTACACTTTTCGATCATAGATAACGAGTCAGGTGCAGATACAATCAAAGAGAAATCATCTGCATAAGCAGTATACTTCATTGTATCAAGAACAGAGTCAATTTGATTGACGTATAATATAAATAGTATTGGTCCTAAAATGGACCCTTGGGGTACACCCATATCAGTAGAAGTAGATTCTGAGTGAATTTTCGACATTCCATTATCATCAGAATGTTGTAACGAGACAAATTGTTTACGATTTTTCAGAAAAGAAGATATCCAATTTGAGGACCGCCCCCTTATACCATAGTTTTCGAGAGACGATAGTAGCTTTGTGTGATTGACGCAGTCGAACGCCCTGCTTAGATCACAAAATATAACTGCAGGGCATTCGCCTGCCTCAATAGATTCAATGATTGTGTTGAACAAAGATAATAGCGCTATAGAAGTTGATTTTCCCGCTCGGAAACCATGTTGGTTTCCACTCAGAATATCATTTCTTTCGATGAAATTTATAAGTCGATTCCAAGAAAGCATATTCGAAAATTTTAGACATTGAGTATGGAACAGTTATTGGTCTGCTTGACAACCGAACTGATGCATACCTGAATAGGTAATTCGCCCAATTTTGAGATCAAATATATTACAAAAAATACTAGTCCGATTCTGAAACGGTTTGTTCCATAATAATATGTTGTGTAATAATCGTTCGAGAACGAGTTGGTTTTTTTAACGCTTGGACCGCACCAAGGCAAATTCCTATAATGTTCGTAGAACATCATGCGCACCTAGGGAGGATAGGAAGAAGAGGTAGGTGATGGATTTTTTAAAAATATTTGGAGGTTATAAAAGTTCTTGGGATTACTTCCATTGGCAACGAATTCCAAAGCTTCGCCGTTCTATAGATGAGCGAGATTTTGTAGATTATTGTTCGACATTTCTCAAGGTTAACGACGAAGAGATGTGCTGACTGGGCCTGTCTTGTTCGTCTGACTGGTATTCCTAGTGATGGAATTATAGCAGAGATTTCTGAGGAACATTTTCGGGGGATACTGAGTTCCGCCTTTCAAGAGAAAATATAGGCTTGAGTTTTGGTGGCGATGAACTCAACTTTGTAGTTGGTTCCCCAGGCTGAAATTTCCGCAAGATTTTCATTGACAGCATTTTCCTGCCTTCGTCGTAAGTTCTTAGTTTTCTGGGAAGAAATGGGAATTCTAGAAGAGAACGCAGTATGGAGAGTAATATAGTCTGCTGCAAAGCTGTGGATAGGGCGTTAAAGTGGTTGCTCCCAATATTTTCTTGAACTTCTAGAGAATATAAGTTCTTGGGAATACTTCTTCAGGCAATGAATTCCAGAGCTTTGCCGGTCTATAGACAAACGAGTTTTGGTAGAGTGTTGTTCGACATTTTCCAAGGTTAACGACGAAGGGATGTGCTGACTGGTATTGCTAGTGATATGGAATTATGGCAGAGATTTTACCGTGGAAATATCTATAATCGCCGACTTTTCTACGGTGTCCTAATGGGGTCAAAGTCAAAGTGTTAGTGAGTGTTGCATCACTCTCCAGGCGAATAACTCTTCTCTCTGGATGGCATCTATAAGAGCATCAGCGTATATTTGTGTGCTGAACCTCATATATGTACAGTGTGTCCACCTTAAGGACTTACCACCCCTGTAAAATCGTTATTATCCGACCAATTTCAAAAAACCTTTTTTTGTTGGATAGGTATTTGAAATGCCCATCCAACCAGAGAGTGATCTAATTCTTGGACTGTTATCGTGGCCAACTGCGACAAATTTCAATGACCCATATTCCAGAAAGTACTATTAGGGATTTTTTTCCACGAAACTTGATGATGGATTCTGAATCAGTACCACTTTAAATATACCTGTACCGATTTTCATCATCATAAAACACAGGGTGTCCGAGAAAACGAATCATCATTTTCTTCAAATAGGTGATCAGCAAATGTAGTTCTGTGGTTGTTCTATAAAATAATAATCACATATTATCATTGAGGATTATTTCAAATATACCTGTACCAATTTTCGTCATTTGAATATACAATGTGTCTGAGAAAAAAATTAAAAAGGATAGGTAAGCAATATTTTTCATCCTGATAATTCTTCACTCAAAATAAAAAGATGAACCGGGATCACTTGGAACATACCTGTACCGATTTTCATCATCATTAAACACAGGGTGTTCGAAAAATCAAATTAATATTTTTTTTGAGCTGATGAAAAAATATTGCCTACTTTTTCTTTTTTATTGTTTTCTCATACACATCGTATTTTTGAATGATGAAAATCGGTCCAGATATGTTCAAAGTGATCCTCAATAATAATGTGTCATCAATTCTTCTCAAAAATACCACAATACTACATTTTCTGATCACCTATTAACAAAAAAAACATAATTCGTTTTTTCGGACACCCTGTGTTTTATGATGATCAAAATCAGTAAAGGTGTTTTTCAAGTGATCATGATTCAGAATCCATCATTGTTTTTTGTGAAAAAAAATCCCTAATAGTACTTTCTCAAATATGGGTCAATAAAGTTGGTCGCAGTTGGCCACGATTACAGTTCATGAGTAAAATCACTCTCTTGTTGGATGGACATTTCAAATACCTATCCAACAAAAAAAAGTTTTTCGAAATCGGTCAGATAACAATGTTATTACAGGGGTGGTAAGTCCTTAAGGTGGACACACTGTATATGGGCATATTTATGATTGCTCGATGAATTCCGCCGAAACAGTTTTGATAACCATCAACGTGCAAAATTAAAAATTGAACTAGGAATTTTCTATATATTGACATAGGGTAATATATAGAATGATTTCATATCATATTCCTGATATCATTTTTGACCTTTGATGACATATTAACAGGATATTTTTTGTAATAGGTATTGAATTCCTGCCCTCTGAATGTCAAAACTCAGTGTTAATAATAATTGTAACCTGAACCTAAGGTATCAGAATAATCTTCATGAGCTATACTGGGTGACACTGATTCATGGTATACCCCTTCTCTCCTTTGGTTTTCTAGCTATATTTATGATATTTGGAATATCGAAAATGCTCACAGGAGGGTACTCTTTCACATTTGAAGAACTTATTATTGTCTTCTTATTCCGGTTCTCCTGGAAATGACATCAACTTTCGATAATTGAAATGAATACGAATTTACCCAAGAATTTCATGAAAAATGCAGACAAGGCTTCGATTAATTCATTGCCGGAGAAATCCAGACTCGTTGTATATATTACAAGGATTATGAAGTAGGTACTTATTTGATCAATGGAAGTTGAGAAATGAAATTATTGCCATAGATGAGACCGTGCTATTGACGTATACTCTCAAGAATTGGTATGTATTTTATGAACTACCAAACAAAACAATTAGCGGGCGTTAGGATTCATAATGCCCTCCATAACGCCCCAGGCGTTATGGGTTTGTTAATAGACTGTAGTTAATAGCAACCGTTGCCAAGGTATTATAATGGACAAATGAAGAATAAAAGATGTTTCGATATTGCGCCGTCAAATCTATTGGGCATAATGAAATCTTCGAACACGGAAATATCATCGTAATCGTTTGAAACAACCTAATCAAACCCGGTATCGTTGAATTCGTTTATAATAATCCCTAGCCGATTATGGAATAAAATATAGAGTGTTCCATTTGAAAATCGAAATAATAATAAGTTGCATGATGTCATTTCTAGGAAAACCGGAAGACGAAAAACAATTCCTAAAATGTGAGATAGTGCCCTTTTAGTGAGCATATATATGATGTTCCAAATTCCAGAAATATAGGAGGGTATACATGATTCTGTGTCACCTGGTATGGTTCCGAAATATTATAATTTGAATATTCCATCTTGAAACATATTTAAACAAACGTATTTTTATGGCAGTTATCGTATTAGAGGTTACTCAAAATTACATAAGTATAAGTGGCCTGGTGAAATTTTTCTCGTGGCCACCCAGTACATCCCTTCCACTAGTTTTATTCTGTGCCACTATGTAATTTGTAGTTTGTGTTCTATGATCGTGATCGTTGCTCTACCGGTAGTTTTCTCAATCTGTGATTCTGTGAATTCTGTGATTTGTAAACATGTAAACAAAAAGTTGAGGTTAAATTTGAAATTTTGACGATGATTATTGTGATCTGACGATTTTTGAATAATATAAGATTATCATATTGTGTTGAATACGTATTAGTATTTCCTAGTTACTCATAATAAGTTTCAGAATTTGATAGTGTTTTAGTTCCTGTTAATCCTGTTTGATATGGGCGAGGTACTGAAAGAACTACGTGAAAAATCTCGCAAAAGAAAGTTGTTGCTTGCTCAAACGGTAAATAAATTCACAAATTACTATCAATGAATATACGTTCATTTATAATAAGTAATATAATTCGTTTGCAGCTCGGTGTCTCAGGAGCTGACGAATTGAGACACGTTTTAGGAACAGCTGAGGTTGTTGAAAAATCAAATACTAAAGAGCCATTGATTGATCAAGACAACGAGAAAAAAGACAATTCAGATGAATTGGTCTATAAAGACTCATCCATGTTCTTAAAGGTTAGACCCAAATGGGAGATGACCATAGTTTTTCATGAGTTGGTTTCTATTTATTTGATTTTTTTCAGGGCACCCAATCATCAAACCCTCATAATGATTACTGTCAGCATTTTGTAGATACAGGTCAAAGGCCGCAAAATTTCATTCGTGATGTAGGACTAGCTGACAGGTTTGAAGAGTACCCAAAGCTAAGGGAACTGATCAAACTGAAAGATGAACTGATCCAGGAAACAGCCACTCCCCCAATGTATTTGAAATGTGACCTATCAACTTATGATTTGAAAAACCTCAATAGTAAATTTGATGTTATACTTATAGAGCCCCCTTTGGAAGAGTACCAAAGAACCATGGGGGCAACAAATATGCAGTTCTGGACCTGGGACCAGATCATGAGTTTGGATGTTGGAGAGGTGGCTGCTCAGCGCAGTTTTGTGTTTCTTTGGTGTGGCAGTTCTGAGGGGCTGGATATGGGTAGAGTTTGCCTGAGGAAATGGGGATTCAGGAGGTAGGCACAGTTGCCACTTTTCCTAGTTAATCCCAATATACCTAACCTGACCCATTGTGGCTTAATTAAATTTATCCTCACCTGTGATCCTGACAGGAAAGTAGTTTTGATTAAAATTCATCAATATCCCAGGAAAATTTATGGCATGTTGGGATAGGTTGTTTTTTTTTCATTTTTTCTTTGTAGTATGTGGTATTTGGTTGATAATTTATTTTATATCTGAATAGAATAGAATTTATTCACATACAGAATAATATATACATGTAAAACTTATTGGACTAGTCAAAAACAAAAGTATTCAGAAGTATACAATTAAAAGCATAAAAAACATATAATAGGAGTCAAATACTTTGAAACCTAGCATCTAAAAACTCTTGAATGGAATAACTATTGTAGCAATAGATTATTCATCATAGATTTGCAATACTTTTGAAAATTTCATAACATACATCAGAATATTATATAGTAAGATGAGCTCTATATATATATTCAAATTTAGAATGGGTGAGGGACTGATAATGAATTATTGGCATTCAATGACTTCACTTTGTCAATAGAAACGTAAATTAATTTTTGCAACACTTCTCACTTTTTTTTTATGTAAATGATACGTTCAAAATCATTGAATTTCAGAGCTCATTTCAAATGTATGACGTCATGACATTATAGTTCATTGTTGAATTTTTTGAACTACCAGTATGTCCAAATAGTCCTTATTCTCCATAACAAGATATGTGAATGTTGGCAACATTGTACTGATTGTCGAGAACTGACAAGACCACGCCCACAAGTCGTGCGCGGGGTTGTCACGTTCACCGATTCGAATGTCGTCTAGTGTGAATTAATATAATAATTATTTATACAAATTTATAATAAGCAATAAGCCACAAATCATATGGGAACATTTTGAGACAATTGAATTTTTATTGATCGCTGAGAACTGACAAGGAATTAATATAATAATATTATTATTAATACAAATGTATAATAAGCATAAGCAACAGCAGATGAGGGAATATTTTCCGACACTTGATTTTTCATGTCTAATTAGGAATATAACCAATACAAAATGGAGAAATTGTCCTTCGGACTCGGGCTCCTTCGCCAAAATATGAAAATAAACTTGCAGTTTTTAGATAACAGGTTTTCTTGCAAAATATCGGTAATTTTTATGCACTGGTGCAATTGTAACCGAAAAAATCGTCTGAGGTGTCCTATTCAAAGGGGCGTAGCTCCCTTAGGAAGCATTTTCGGTCCCTTATAGATAGGAACTTTTTGCCTTATGCAAGGAATACGCCCCTGAAAGGATGCCGCTTACTTTTGAATCAGTCCTGCATTGTATGCAGGTGATAGTGCTGGACAGGAGGGTAGTACCGTATACTTTGACAGCGCAAAGATCGGAATAAACCCTACGAAAACTGAAATAATCAACTTAAAAAATTCACCAACAACACGTTATTTCGACCTTTGCGTGTCAAGGACGCTGAAGTTGAGGGCAAAGTCATTGTGAAATACGCGATTTTACTAAATATACTGCACGCTAGCACAAACCACGCCCACCATAATACGTCATATCTCCAAACATTACCGATATACTCGGAGTCAGCACATCGCACTAAATATACTGTGCTCCAACGCAAGAATACACTTTTTATGATTTTGACACGAATTCGACTGAAGCTCTCTCGTTGTCAATCTCTTGTACGCAGTGAATTCATACACCCAAATGGTCTACTGGTTAGCGCTGTCGACTTTCAGCCTGAAGGTCCATGGTTCGAATCGCTGTGAACTTGAACTTTTTTTCGCAACTTTTTTTTTTTCACCAATGTTTTTTTACTTCATTCTGATTTTCCTTTTTCATAAAATATTTGAAGTCAAATAGGTTAGTGCGTTTAGGATAAACAGTCTCATTTTATTCAATTTTGTTGAAGAACTCAACTTTTGATATATTATTAATCAATGTGTTTCTACACTCCATTCGGTTTTCCTTCCTCAAAAATATTGCAATCAGCGATAGGTTAGTTCGTTGAGGATAAATAGTCTCTGAGTTTTGCCTAAGTAAAGTACTTTGAAGATGAGATATAACGGTGGGCGTGGTATGTGCTAGCGTACAGTATATTTAGTAAAATCGCGGCCCGGTGAGATAGAGTAGGCCCTGCTCTAATAGGTGAAAGACGGTCCTGCGCACAATATGAAATGCCTAACCCTTGAAAATGTGTGATTCAGATGTGAAGACATCTGTTGGATCCGGACGAACATAAAGAATCCCGGTCATTCGAAGAACCTCGATCCCAAGGCCGTCTTCCAGAGGACGAAGGAGCACTGCCTCATGGGCATCAAGGGCACCGTGCGTCGGTCCACCGACGGAGACTTCATCCATGCCAACGTCGACATCGATCTGATCATATCCGAGGAGAACGAGTACGGCAGCTTGGAGAAACCGGTCGAAATTTTCCATATCATCGAGCATTTCTGCTTGGGTAAGCAACTGCCATATTCAGAGACATATAAAAAGAGGGGAGACAAAATTGTTTGAATTTTGTCCCGATCCAACATCGTTTTCAACAGAAAACGATGATGACAAATTTCTGCGGATTGCCCTTGACCTGCCGCCTGTGTTTGAAAGCGAGGGAAGGATTAATCATATCAACTATATAATATTTTTTTTTAGAATGAAAGATTTTATTTATTCTAAGATGAACAGATGATTCTTATAATTAGGAAAGAAAGTCTGAAAAAAACATACAGTATATGAATTAAGATGAATGAAGATACCAGGAAATACATTCGTTAATTAATTATATACCCATCTCTTGCAAATAATAATTATTACTCTGCTAAAAAAACAAAAAGATCTAAGTTGCCCTATATTATTAAGTACCTATACCTAAAGAAATGAAAAGTCCATACTCCATTGCACGTAGTAAGTAGCTGATTGTTTATATATCACATTCTACATTCATATCGCCTAATTGGTAAAGAATAGTATATTATGTAACAAGTGTTATAAACGTCCTTTTAGTAACGAGTAGTTTAAGCACGAGCGGAGCAGAGCGGAGCGAGTGTTTAATAAACGAGTGTCTAGAAGGGTTTATAAACGCGTTACATACTATGATTTTTCTACGAACTCCGAAAATAACATTAACATCCCTGCAATTCCTGCTAACCTACAAAATAATTCGAAAGGAATGGGAATTGAGAACATAATACATGCAACTGCATTCAACCAGCGAGACACGTATAAGTTGGTTGTAGATGTTTCCAGTCCATTGCTTATCAACCTTTGTTTCACGTTTATTGTCATGCTTGGCGCAGAATAAATAAATTGTTCTCAAAGATGGGTGCTTCGTGTTTACACTTCTTGGAGATATGCAAGTACCAGAACATTCTCTTCGATTTCACTTTCGTCTACTTTTCGCATATATTTTTAATGAAGAATTCTGATACAAACGAATATTGTTTGAATAATTCTGATACAAAATTCGAAAATAACAGTTGACAGTTAATGCAATTGACAGGCCAGACATGTCTCAAATTAATGAAGCTGTGTTTAATGAACTGCGTTGCCATGGTAATGTGTTTAAGAAATCGTGTTGCCATGGTAACGTGTTTAATATTTTGAATAAATCACAGATCGACAATCCGTGATTAATCGATCATTTAGCGTGGTACATATCCGTACGCTAAATGCCATTTTAGTTATGTGAGTAGAAAAATACTGTTTTAGTTTTGCTGGGCCCCTTTGAAAGTCTTATATCTAAAGGAATGCTATTATATATTTTTAGTCCATCATGACATAGTGATTTTTGGCCGAATAACTTTCGGACATATGTTCATTCGAACTTTTCTTCTTATTTTGACGTCAGCAACATGCTCCTGAATTTTCTACACGTACTTAAGAAACACCCTGTATATGTTTTATTTGAAAAAATTGGCGCGGTCTAATCTAATATGATTGGCCTTATTACAGGTAGACGGAGACTGCACGTCTTCGGCAGAGACAGCACCATCCGGCCAGGTTGGCTCACCATCGGCCCCGAACCGACCAACTCCAACTTCAACGCTGACTTGTACGCCGGCTACTTCGCCCCCACCACTGTCACTACAGGGTGTTCGGAGCGCATCGAGGCGCTCAGACCGAAGAGTCCGCCGCCCAAGGGCAAGGGCAGCGCGGGCGGCCGGGGCAGAAGCAATTTTCAAAGAGGCAGAGGGCGAGGACGGTAAAACGTTTTGAAATTTCGTTGGGGCGGGTTTATACGCTGGGACAGTGTTTTCTCTTTTCATTGGGCGGTTTATCGAGGTCATATAGAGGCGATTCAAACAGTATAAAGGTGACTTCATAAAAACTTTTAGCATTTCAACACTCTCAAGGCCCAAGAGACTAGACAGGATAAGTGGATTCTGTTATGAAAGAAAATTAGATTCTAAGGGGATAAATGTTCTATGTCTATGTCATAACTGATATTTGTGAAACAGTGAGGTAGAGCATGGGGACGAAAGAACACTTTCAAGGTTCGTTGGGGCACATTCTCTTCTCATTGGGCGGTTCATTGCTTGAATGAAACGTACTGTTCCCAAGAACAAGTGTCAAATTTGCTTGAGATCCTCTAGAGACCCTTTTTTTTAATATGTAACCGAAGTTCAATAACAAATATCCCACTATCTTCATTTTGGACTAAAACAGAAAAGTAAACCAGTGTTTTACCACCACTGTTACCCATATTGCTGTGCATGATGATATAACAACAACATTTCGTCAATATTTTTCAAACAAACCGAGCTTCCAGGGCCACTTTATAAACAACTTCAAGACATAATATCTATCACTTAACATTTAAAACTTATCAGTTAAAACCATAATGAAAATAGACTGGTGTAACCACTTGTCAATTATTTCTTACCAAAACGTGTAGACCGCGAAACACCGTAGCAAGGCCGCACCGGATTGACTGTAGATGGCGTAGGGAACATCGTGCCACATATACTTCACAGATATAATGAAAATTTCACGACTTTTTCATTAAATCAATCACTTTTTCCCAATGTTTTTGAATTACGAATTGATATACGTAAATGTAAACAACAAAACAAAACAACCATTGTGTATCAAGATCACTCCGGGAACAGCGCCATCTAGCGTTAGTTTTGCGCGGCCTTACTACGGTGATAGAATTCGACATAATCAAGTAGGCCAGAGGTCTACAAAAATTTCTAGGGTTGTTTAAGAGGCAGCTATTTCACCATACATATATCCACCTTTGTTAAAACATTAGATGGCCAACTTGCCAATTTAGAAAGTGGATGATAAATGATTATAAATGGAATATGGAGTGTGCATATTCGCAGGTAACCAAAAGTGACATCTTAATATTCCGTCATTCATTTTTATCTAATTATTATTAGATCATTGTTGTTCTATAAATAACAAACTAGTTAGTGTAGGCGAGAGGTATAATAGTGTCTGTTCATTGACCCAAAATTTGTGTGCTTGAGTGTCAATGGCGCTAGTTTACTGAAAACATCGAGAGCTCATTTATTTCAATAGACATTTTTCGAAATGGAAATTTCACGTTAGTTGTTGGTTTGTCATTGGTTGTTTGATTTTGGTGTTCCATTTTGCACTTCTTCAACGCGGACCTGTACGCCGGCTATACCTGCCCCCACCACCTTCAGTACAGGGTGTTCGGAGTGCATCAAGACGCTGATGCCGAAGAACCCACCGCTTAAGGGCAAGGGCAGCACGGGCGGCCGGGGCAGAAGTAATTCTCAAAGAGGCAGAGGGCGGGGACGGTAGAACATTAGAAAGTTTTCGAGGTTTGTTAGGGCTGGCTCGCAATGTTTTCTCATCTCATTTGGCAGTTTATTAAGGTCATTAATCTAAAGAGACTGTTCCAGAGCGGTGTGAAGCTCAGATTGTTTGATGAATATTGTCAAAATGGATACTAATATTGATGCTATATTATAATACACAGCAGTATGGGGAAGATATCGACAGACACATGATAACTGTTGATAATTGACATAATTCAGCGTAGACTTCTTAGTCGATATATTTGTTAGTAGTTTTCGTGTTTTTTGTGTTCAGAAAAAAAACATTTGTCTAAAAGTACCTACGATTGGCCACACTAGTTTGAGGTTAATCTTTTTGAGCTCCACTTCCCGATTAGTTGGTTTGATTCCGATTTATCATCGAAGTTTGAGTTTGGTAATGTAAGTTTTTTTTAGCATTATTTTTTTCATGACTAAATGTGAAACTTTTATTTATAATAATTTGTGAATATCTCATTCCATAGTCTTGTATTTTTCTTTATAAGTGCATATTGTTTATGCTGGATATGAGAGCAAAATAAATGAATGGAAGTCTATTTTTCCATATTCCTCTAGTGTTTTTTATTTCGAAGCTAATTTATATTCCAGATAACGGGGAGGTCCAGAACGTTGTGACATACCATCTCCTGCGATATAAGAACCAATCAGAATGGTGTGCCTCGGTAGTACAGTCGTCTTCAGAGAACATATCGCACATGGACGGTGTCAGCTCCCTTAATCACCGCTGCAATAAGGGCGCTCATACCGTCCAACCACCACATGTTCACTGAAGACGAGTGTACGCTGCTCCTTTCATTCGAGCCGGTGAGACCACGTAGTCACGGCAACCAGGAATCTAAATAGAACAACATCTTGTCATCTGGTATGACATGGACATGATGATGGTTTCATATAGGTCGTGGAATTGTCTCTATAAATATAATTCCTGCTCACAATACTATCAATTATTCCACGCATTTCAAAATACATGTTTTTGATCGGTTGAAATATCTGTATTGATAATTGAAAACATGATCATCATCATATTTATTATTCCCAAGAAACAATTGACTTATATGTTTATAACAGGAAACATTAAAAAAAATAAACCATAATGTATTACATCACATTCAAAATATAGTATTTATAGGTGTATAATAATTTTATTATTCTCGTAATTCTCATAGTTTAGATCCTTGTTTGAGTGAATGTATGATTAAAATAATTGATATTATATGATCTCAATATGGATGACATGACAAAATTCAGAAGAATAAATATTTTTTGAGATCTTTCTTGAATTTTTTGGTATTAATATTTTGCAGCAGGCTATCATGGACATATGGATGTTATAAGATTTTCATATTTAGGGATAAATAGCACTTAACTGAGTATGATCGGCATTTTAAACAAACATTTTTTATATTAACCTAACCTCTCACAACTTGACACTAGCGTCAAGAAACCTGAACGCATCAAATATTGCGAGCGATTCCGGCCAATGACAAGATGAGACGCGCGACAATATTTGGTGTGTCCTGTCTCTAGTCGTTTGTCGACTGCTAGATAGCAACAATGAACTCAATATTATTGAGTTCATTGTTAATCATCAATACACTTGTTGAATTACATACTAAAATTCTGTCAGAAATCTTGAACTCGATCAAATCCCTTCGACGTGTTACCAAGCAATGTAGCAGTTCAGCTAGCGTTGAGAAATAAAATGTCTTCTCCATATGTCCTTGTAACATAAATTAATGAAAATTGTATATCGGCAACACTGAAAATAAGGAGAAATGCAGAAGACCATTCTAACCTTTTTTATCTCTCTCTCTCTCTCTCTCTCTCTCTCTCTCACTGTCAGAGCCCTTATTACGGAGAATCCGTCCTCATCTGGCCTGGATACCTGGAACCTGAATTCCGACCTGAAGACGCCACCTGTCTTCCACCACGGTCGGAAGTCGAATAACCTTTTTCATATTGAGGTTATATGATCTTCTCCTCCATTTTTTCCCATTTCCATTGGAACACTGAAGACAAGGATAGATGAGGAAGACATTTTTTTCCTGACAGAATTCATCCTGATATGTTTTTTGTTGCTTCTGCTCAATTATCGGTTACAATTCAATTGCGTCTTATAGTGTGAGAACCTACCTGAAATAAATATACTCACCAGCGATGTTGGATGGCTCAAAATTCATTACTTTGAATAACACTACCGTATACAAAAAAATGGAGACTGTTTTTCTTTCATCTCTTGGAAACCACGTTAGGTTAGGCAGGTATTCCAGTCAAGAATAAAGTATGGGTGAGATAGGAATCGCGTGTGGCGAGACTGGCATAGGTGCACTACTATGGCGTAATTTGTCATATTTAGTGCATACACCCTGAAATGAAACAAATTCATATTTGGTCCTGTTTACAGTACAGAGTTGAATGCACAAATCAACAGATTTTACAGTAGGTAGTAGATCGTTAAATTGAATAATGACCGACAATGAACTTTTGTGTTTAACATCACAGGCAATGTCAGGTTTACCGGGTAGAAGCGAGTTTCCCTCTCCGCTGTCAAAGTCATGAACAGCCTAACAGCCACCAACTTGAAAGGCATAATTCCTCATATTTAGCGCATCCACCACTTTTTCATTCGCCACCATTAGCGCATAGAAATGAAACAAGTTCACCCTTGGTACTACTTACTACAGAGATGAGTGTACAACTTAACAGACTTTTTACAGTAGGTAGTAAGATCGTTGAATTAAATAATATTGATCGAAAATCAACGTTTGTGTATCAACAACATAGGTATGGTCAGGTTTACCGGGTAGAAGCAAGTATCCCTCTTCACTGTCAAAGTCATCAAAAGCCACTATCTTCTCAATTGAAGGCGAGTAGATACTGCACCCATGCCAGTCTCTCTTCACTCAATCCCTATCTCACCTATGCTTTATTCTTAACTGGAATGCCTGCCTAATCCAACGTAGTTTGGATGTACCAACGTCGTTCAAGCATCTAACCTAACCTACATCATCAATTCTCCCCTGCAGGGTGGGTTAGAGGGGTGAATTTACCCTGTCGGTAGAAGCGAGGGAAGGTTTCGAATAAAAAATGGTCGCCGATGACCAACCATCGAGACTTTTCGAATACTTCTCAATGAAGATATCATACCCCTAGACTCGGTCCATTCCAGAAGAAATCTCTCTGCCAGTATTCTTCAAGTTTGCGAAGCCCTGTGCAGAGAAACATGTTTATGATGGACTCTGGACCCGCAGGACGGACTGAGTAGCCTTGCCTTGCTAGAGCATCAGCTCTTTCGTTGTCATCTATCCCACTATGTCTAGGAACCCAAAGTAGTTTGATACGGTTTTCTCTTGCTACCCCAGGAAGGTCCCGTTTGCAATCTGTGTGATATCACAGGCATGGTCAGGTTTACCGGGCAGAAACGAGTTTCCCTCTCCGCTGTCGTAGTCGTCAACAGCTACAATTTGGTTGCGTTAAAGTAGTAGTGCACCTCACTCACGACAACTCTGCATTGGCTTCTTCGCATATTCAGGAGGGATTGAGTGAGACGTTTCAAAGGCTTCTCAATGAAGATCTTCGCTTGTCTCATGCCCCTAGACTCGGTCCATTCCAGAAGAAACCTCTCTGTCAGTATTCTTCAAGTTTGCGAAGCCCTGCGCAGAGAAAAATACCCACGATGGGCTCTGGACCCGCAAGACGGGCTGAGGAGCCTTGCTTCGCTAACGCACCAGCTCTTTCGTTGTCATCTATCATCTCACTATGTCTAGGAACTCAAAGTAGTTCGATACGGTTTTCTCTTGCTACCCCAGAAGGGTCCCGTTTGCAATCTAAAACCAATCTAGAACTGGGGTGAACGGCCAGAAATGAAACAAGTTCACCCTTGGTACTATTTACAGTACAGAGATAAATGTACAACTCAACAGACTTTTTACAGTAGGTAGTAAGATCGTTAAATTAAATAATAATGATCGAAGATCAACTTTTGTGTATAACATCACAGGCATGGTCAGGTTTACCGGGCAGAAGCGAGTTTCCCTCTCCGCTGTCGTAGTCGTCCTCCTCGTTCGTGTAATCGTCGGAGGAGTCGGCCGAGCTCTCGCTGGGCGTGTCTTGCAGTTGCGAATGCCGCTCGTACGCGGAGGTGCAGCACTCGTCGCGCGGGATCCTTTGCAGGAGCAGCGTCAGCTGAAAATACGAAGCGTTCGTTACCACTGACATACACTTCTATACCGCTAATGGGATGAGAAAGGCCACTCCCGAGATCGAACTGGAGAACATGAAGGATGCGCATTCAGGACCTGCCATATTTTTTTTTCGATGAGAAGAAGACCATTCTAAACTATTTAATATATTTTTTTATGGTCTGGTTCCCACGAAAAGGGATATCCTGTAATGTTCAGAGAACATCGTGAAAACCAAGGGAAGTAGGGAAGGAATTGGTGTTCTTCTTAAATTCCTGGAGGTTATATGCCTCGGGGAACACCTCCCTTGGCAATGTGTTCCAGAGCCTCGCTGTTCGTTTGATGAACGAGTCTTTGGAAAGAGATGTTCTGCAGATCTCCAAAGTGACCACGAAGGGGTGCGAAGCCTCAACTCGACGGGTTAATCTCGCGGGGACTGCCAAGGGAGGAACAATTGTTGATATTTCAGAAGATCATCGTCCATGAAAATATCTATAAAATAGAGCCAGATCGCCAACTTTTCTACGGTGTTCCAGAGAAGTGAGTGTTTGTGAGTGAGGCTTCACCCACGAGACGAATTGCCCTTTTTTGGACAGAAACCAACAGTTTCAGGGTATGTTTGAGTGCCGCTATTCCGAAATTTGAAGATTTGCCGGCCGTTCGCTTTATGATATCAGCCATTTTGGAGAGCAGACTATAGATCAATTCTATTCACCCTCTCAATCTAATCTAAAATTTACGTAAGCGCGAAGTCGAATAGAATAAAGGGACTTGCAGTTCTTTCTCGAAGACGGTGTTATGGCTTATTTCTCGCAACTATAGCAGAACAAAAGCCATAACCAGTGTATATACAGGGTGTTCCGAAACTATTGTGCCAAAATTTTATATAGAGAACCGCGAAGTCGAATAGAATAAAGGGACTTGCAGTTCTTTCTTGAAGTCGGTGTTATGGCTTATTTCTCGGAACTATAGCAGAACAAAAGCCATCAACAGTGTATACACAGGGTGTTCTGAAACTATTGTGCCAAAATTTCAGGGGTTGGTTGATCTTGGCAAAAAAACTTTTTTCACTTATTAACCCATAGGCGCATGCGTTCAGTGATAATAGCGCATTAAGGTCTGCGCAGTGGTATCCAACCTCGGACACGGGGAAACGTGTTTGTACTGAAAACCATGTTAGTAAATGACATGAACTCACAAGCAATATTTGGGAGAGTTTATTAAACGAAAACAATACAATTTAGATTGAGTTAGGTTTCACACATTAGCACGACGCAATAATAAATGAGTAGCCTACGCAATGCGAGTGTCCGAAGCGTGGCGATTGGCCCCGAACGTCAAAATCAGTAGAGCTGGGCACTCAATATCGATATTATTTGAGTATGTACATATTTTAAACTTTTTTCTCGTGATACCTATTAGTACCGAAATAAGGCGCATGCGCCTATGGGTTGATAAGTAGAATACGTTTGTTTTGGCGAGATCTACCCAGCCTTACATTTTGGCACAATAGTTTCGGCCTGTATATGTTATATATCCGGGAAAAAAGTACTCACTTTTTTTCCCACGGGCAAAAAGTAATTTATGAAAAGTGACATTTCATATCCTGCCAACAGAGATGAAATGCCAAACTTTTTTCCCGTCACAGAAAAAAAAATTATTATTATTATTTATATTAAAAAATTGCATTTTTCTTTGAATATCAAAAATAACACCTCTTAGTGGAAAACCCTTTATTACCTTGAAGCTGGCGTGGAATACTTTATTCTGCTTGTCCTTCTTATTCACGATATCCAACTCGTTTTTCTCGAACGACAAACTGTAACAGAGATCCTCGCCTCCTACCACCGACCGTTCGCCCCCGTTCAGATAGTCGCCCACGAAGAACGTGTTGAACCAGAACTGGAACAGCTTCTCTTTCCGCATCATCGTCTTATTGTAGAACTCCACTTTGATGTCGCCGGTCAGCGGCAGACAGTAGTCGAGCTTGATCGAGAACGGCGCGTCGTTTCGCTTCACCTCGTACATGTCATTCTTGCGCAGCTTCTTGCACTTTTGCGTCACGTGGCCGCCCTCCTGCAGATTATTGATTTGAATATTAATGATTGATGGCCGCTATACCTTTTCAACTTCAATTTCGGAATCGGTAAGTTATTATATTTCGCAGAAGGTAAACTCAATTTCAGAATCGATGAGTTTAAATTCAGAAAAAGTCCATTTAATTTCAGAAATGGTAAGTCGTATCTCAGAAAATAAATCCTTATATTCGTTTGACATATTTCCTACCTAAACTGACTAAGTATGGCCGAATATACAGCAAATCTAACTTCAATAAGTTCAAGGAAGCATCTACAAATACTGAGTGGAAATCTATTGTAGATACAGAAAAACCATTTGAAAATTTCTATGAATACCTTGTATCCCTTTTTAATGAGTCTTTCCCGATACGAAAAATCAAGACCAAGCGAAAGAAGAAGCCATGGCTGACATCAGGTATAAAAACATCATCCAAAAATCTGAGATGCCTTCATTACCTTAGAAAATATACAAATGCGAATTTCATTCACATATATTTTAGTAACTATCGTAAAATTTATAGAAACTTGATAAAAATTGCAAAAGAAAATTATTACAAAGAAATAATCACCGATTCTGATAACAAATCAAAAGCTAGCTGGAATATTATAAACGACTTAACAGGTAAAAGCGGCAAAAATAAAGCAGAAATGTCTCTAAAGGCTGATGAGCTGAACAATTATTATTGCACTGTCGCTGGGAAATTTACCCAAGACTTAGCAAGTAATAATCTTCCAATGGAATTCTTCAGTAGTAATCCTATTTGTCAATCTATTTTTTTTTACGATACAAATATTACAGAATTGAAGCAAGTCATTAAAGCAATCAAAAATAAAAAAACACATGGGATCGATGAAATCTCAATTAGAATTCTTGAAAACTTGCCGGACGAGGCCCTGGATGTATTGACCACTCTGATAAATGACTCATTTCAGAAAGGTATATTTCCGGAATTCCTTAAAACTTCTCTTGTTATTCCTATTCATAAAGGTGGTGATGTAGACGAGCCAGCAAACTTCCGTCCAATTTCTCTTATACCCTCTCTCGCAAAAATAATAGAGAAAATAGTAAAAATTAGAATAACAAATTTCTTGAAAAAAAAAAACATAATCTCTGTAAAGCAGTATGGGTTCCAAGAAAATAAAAATACCAGTGACGCTATTTTCTCTTTTCTCCAAGAAGTATACTTGAAAATCAATAGTGGGGAGGCAGCAGCAGCAGTATTTTGCGACTTTTCTAAAGCCTTTGACTGCGTGGATCACCAAATACTGCTGGCAAAGCTCCATCACTACGGCTTCAGAGGTGTAGCATACAAATGGATTGAGTCTTACCTAACTGATCGTCATCAAATTGTGAAAACTTCATCTTTTTCAAATATAGCATCGGTGAATTGTGGTGTACCTCAAGGATCGATACTGGGCCCCACTTTATTCTTATTATATATCAACGATCTGCTTAATATTGATATCTCCGGAAAATTTACTGTGTTTGCGGATGACACTACTATTCTATGGCATGAAAATAATGCAGATGCACTAGAAGAAAAAATCCAAGTAGACATTAAAGTATTAAAAAGTTGGTGTGACTCAAATCGTCTTGCTCTAAATGTAACAAAAACCAACATAATATCCTTCAGGTGTGAAATAATCAATATTGAACTAGATAATGGCCTCATTGAAAGCTGCAATAAGACTAAATTTTTAGGGGTTTTTATCGATAATAAATTGAAATTTGAACAACATGTTTTGAACTTGAATAAGAAATTGGCCTCTGGTTGTTTCGCTGTGAGAACAGTAACAAAGGAACTTGGACCCTCAGCTGCAAAATTAGTCTACCATGCATTGATAGAGTCTCACCTGAGATACGGTATTCCTTTCTGGGGAGTATGTAATAATAACCTCATGCTAAGTATACTGGTACTGCAAAAACGCTCGATTAGATATATGTCCAAAGTTAAAATGCGTGTTTCCTGTAAACCGCTGTTTGTATCGCATAAATTACTAACTGTTATTGCAATCTTCATCCTTGAATCAGTATATCTCATCAAAAAACACATCCATAAATTTAATACTACTCCTTCCTATTACTCTACCCGTAAGCATAACAGTATAAACTTACCAATACCAAGTTCTTCTCTAGTAAAGGATTCACTCATTTATAATGGATGCAAGATGTTCAATCATTTGCCCGACTATATAAGAGATATCACCCACATTGACCATTTTAAAAAAGCTGTCCATTTGCTATTATCAGATCGGCCTTACTATAGTTTGGAGGAATTTTATTCTGATCAATTCTAATTATATGTACCCTTTGCTAATGTAAGAGTCTTTTTAATGTCTGTTTTATATTTTTAGTTTTTTATTTACACTTTTAACTCTACATATGTGCTTTGTCCATAAGAATGTATCTTTTCTTCATGACAATAAAGTATATTCTCTCTCTCTCTCTCTATTTTTAGTTGCATGTGTTCAGATTATTAAAATTTTTAAAACCCATTAAATAACATATACTAAACTTAATCTTCAATCAATCCATACAGACATGTCTTTCATTTGGGAGGATAGTGGGGTTGCACATGATTTAAAAGAATTTAAACAGTTGTGAGGTATATGTTCTCATTGATGACCTGAACAATCTTCAGCACATCTCAGTCTGAATTCTATTTGGTTGAGCAATCTGTTTGGATCCAGGGCTATGACCCTTCTGTGATGCTCATTCAAGAAGCTCTTCACTTCTGACATGAAGGTATTCCATAATATGTTCAGTTATTGGGTTCAACATTGGGGGTGTAAGGTACCAATCTGCTAATGAAAACATCTTAAAATTCTTCCTGCATGCAAATCTCCTCAATATATTCTTGGATGAGCAGGTTCATAATCCAGAACTACCACTATTGTATCTGTAGGATGCCCATTTTAAACGCACGCTTATCATCCTATGAACTAGGTTCATACAGTGAACTTTTTTTTTTCTGAAATTGACCTAACCAATTCTGAAATATAACTTACCATTTCCGAAATTGAATGGACATTTTCTGAAATTTAACTCACCGATTCTGGAATTGACGATTATAATATTACAAAATCGCAATGATGCTGACAGCTCGTTCAAGTTGATCATTCCAATTTGAATGTATGTCGAAGTTTTAAGAGATATTTCAATTTTCTCCAAGAAATTGATAACTAAAATCTGGTTGTAAACCTGATCTACACTAGACTGAGATGTATTTTGTTTACATTTCTGTTGAAGGTTTGAGGTGAGACCATCTTGACAGCTTTCTTATTCTTATTTTCGGGTATATAGGCGTGAAGAAAATAAATCAAGAAACTTATCATAGACAAATATCCACAAAGTCACTAGATCTAGGTATATGGTTTGAAATTGTTACATTTTGAAAAAAAAATGAATAATTTGAATAGCCAATCCAGACATCAGAAATAACCTAATACTAGATAGTTGAATGATAATTCTATGACAATTCGTTCGACGGCAACTTCCCCATTCTTAAGCGGCGTTCACAACTAAACTTCTTACGTTTTGCTTTTTACGTTTCGTATTCTGATTGGTGAAGCAGAATCTGAGATGAAACTTGAACTAAAACCTATGCACATGTCATTCACAACAAAAAAAATCAACGTGACTTTTTATGGTTCAGTTGCCTTGCTTTTGGTATTTGTTTTTCATCCTGAAATGAAGCAAATAATCATAACAATACTATTGATCAGATAATTGATAATATCCATAGATCTGGCGGTGACGAAAATTGATCCTTATTCAATACTTGAAGAGAAAAATCAATCTTCAACAAGAAAATAATGAATTGAACAGTATACCTATCTACTAATTACTACTATTCTGTGAATTCACGAAAAAATCATGAAAACATTATCATAACTTCCATATTATTAGAGAATGTTCTATATTATTCGTCTATTTTTACTATTTTCACAGACGATGGCTTCTTGCAACGCAAGAAGCTGAATATTTTCAGCTTTTTGCGTCATATCAATTACAGATTTTGCTTCACCAATCAGAATACGAAACGTAAAAAGCAAAACATAAAAAGTTTGGTTGTGAACGCCGCTTTATACGTTTTGCTAACTACTGACTCCTATTTCATGGTCACTAACGATTGGGAATTAAAAACAGTGAAATCCCGCCTTTTGTGTATTTGTAGGAATGCGATTAAAACTATGCGAAGAATCATATAAAATGAGTATTTGAAATTTGCGTGTATTTCACAAACAAAAATATCGTGCTGTGCTTAAGAAAAACGCATACCTAACTATTTGAATTTGACCAGGTGATGGGATATCACAATATTACTCAATTGAACTGTTATTATTACTGACTTCTCAACAGCAACTGACGTTCAACCATTGAACGTCCATTTAAGCAATGGGCGTTCAACTTGATAGTTGTAGAGGCAATAATGAGGACGATTCATGATCGCGAGGTGGGCATTAATGATGTTGATCAGGCGTTAACGCGAATTTCACTCTCATATCAGTTAAGCTTGATCGAGAACGGTGCATCGTATCGCTTCACCTCGAACATGTCGTTCTTCCCTGTATATTTAATTATTCCTTATAAATATGGCACAATGAAAATAAAAAACCACCTGTTTCAGGAGATTTCTCAAAAATGGACAGTTTGGATAGAAATTAATTTATTCCTTTCATTAGCACCATACATAACAAGATTGGCTTATGTCAAATTCAGGAAAATTTATAAATGACAACTATATTTCGTCCTTTTACAGAAGGTTGATTAAGTTATCTTAGACTAGAGTGACTTTATAAATAGTGACGAAAATAGTGGTACTTTTTGATTGGTGCAGTCGCCTGTCTGGATTTCTGCATTCAGTTCTACGCATTCTATTTCACTTTGTGCGTTGTCTCGTATTTTTGCATTCATATCAACTATTAGAATCCGACTTTTGGCACTCGTAAGTCTCAGATTATTTAGATGATGAAATGAAAATATTAAATATCTAAACCCTACATCAGGTGGGCACTTCGAAGGCGCAAATTCATTACTGCATGGGAGATACCATTCCGAGTTTTAGCTATTCAGTATTTAATCTGCTCACTCTATCTTAGACAAGCTAGCAGTGGAAGAAACAAAAATAAAAGTCCACTATACCTGGAACACCGTCTGGTGCGAGATCGAGAACGAAAGACACGCCTGTCCGCCCCCAAAGTTCGGCACCGGATCCAGCACGAACTCCTTTATATACACTGACGTAGGTACGTAGCACAGCCGACGGCGCACCAGCGCCTCGTAGTACTCCACGTAGCGCACCTGGCTCGGTATCGTAACGCCCTTTTTGTCCTGCGCCCTCTTCTGCCCATAGTAAGTGAGGGCATCGTGGGCGTGAGAGAACATGCCGACGTGCAACAGGTAGCAGCATATCATGGTGCCCGTCCTGCCTGAAAGTTTCGGAAATCTAATCAGTACAGCATCCTAGCAACTATTTCCACTATGATAAGTTTCATCTGTTGCAAATAGAGGTCAATAGATTCATAGACAGGCTTATCGGCAGACTAAATGAGAATGGACAGACACCGAGATTCATTCATAAGGCATTAGAGAGTATACGCCAACAACCCTAGACGCCAAACACGGATGAATGCATGAAATCGCGAATGGTGGGGATAATAACAGACAACCAGCGTCTCGTAGTACTCCACGTAGCGCACCTGGCTCGGTATGGTGACACCCTTCTTGTCCTGCGCCCTCTTCTGCCCATAGTAAGTCAGGGCATCGTGGGCATGAGAGAACATGCCGACGTGCAACAGGTAGCAGCATATCATGGTGCCCGTACTGCCTAAAAGTTTCGGAAATCTCATCAGTACAGCATCCTAGCAACTATTTCGTGTATCAAAGTTCTCTGCCAATACCCAAGATGATTCGGATAGTGAATCTCTTCAGTTGTTATTTTCACGTTTTGCCAATAGGACGATAGATTCTTGGACAATGACGCAGGTTCGATTTGAATAGATCCGGCTCGAAGGACCAATAAGTTCGATGCTCGAGAGATAGTGGACTGTATTCGTATGGTTATATGATGTATAATGATGAACTAAAGATTGCAATTCGTATTGCAATCCTTCTTCATTTATTGTGAAATCTCATGTTTAAGCACCTACGTTTGCTGGTCTCGCAATGCACCACGGCCACACAGCCACTCCTCGACGTCCTCGCAGAAGGGTCGGATGTTATCGACCTTGGGCGGGTTGTAGTATTCGAAGGGGAACACCTTCCCGCGATTGTGGAAATTTACCTTATCCTCGCGTATCAACATGTCAGAACAAAATACAAAATGAACCAGAGCATCCCTACCTTAATTTCGTCAAGATTTTCAATAATTTGTCTCCCTTAAGATCAAGTTTAACGGCCCAACTAGTATGGGTGTGAAACTAGCCAAATCCACAAATATACACTGAGAAACATCCGTCCAACTAGTATATGGTCGTCATGTTTTAGGCCCACCACTGACTTTGGGTTTGACATGGCTGAGCTAGAGGAAATGTAGACAATGTTCAATGTATACTGTCACTGCATTTGTGGTGCATCTCCTCGCGTATCTATGTAAAAGTGTTTGAACAGAAGGATCCAAAGTTGATTCGAATAGTGGATCTCTCCACTTGTTATTTTCACGCTTTGTTAATAAGGAAAAAGATTCTTGGACAGGTTTGATTTGAATAGATCCGGCTCGAAGGACCAATAAGTTCGATGCTTGAGAGATAGTGGACTGTATTCGTATAGTTATATCATGTATGATGATGAAATGAAGATTGATGAGAATTGAGAATTGACATCCGTATTGCAATCCTTTTTTTTATTGATTTCATTTATAATTCTTATGTTTAAACACCTACCTTTGCCGGCTTTGCAATGCACCACGGCCACATTCTCCTCGTCGCCCTTCAGCCACTCTTCGACGTCCTCGCAGAAGGGCCGGATGGCCTCGACCTTGGGCGGGTTGTGATCGTCGAAGGGGAACACCTTGACGCGGTTGTGGAACTTCGCTTTGTCGTAACTACGCTCCGAGCACAGGTTGTAGATGTAGTAGCGGTCCTTGTGCTTACCGTCGAGGAACTTGACGACGTCGTCGATGTGGTTCCGGTAGACGCTTTCGATGTTCGAGGCGGGGTAGCCCATCGCGATTATGGTGTCGGTTATGTCTGGGGTAGGGGGTGGTTAAGGATGGTTTATCTACATGTGCGTTTTTCTTATGGACAAGTTCAGGGCTTTAAGCCAATCAAATACTGACTATTACGCGCAGTTACTGAATGAACCAACTAGGAGCTCAAGTCAAGATCGGATTGTCAGTGGTAATACTAGTGATAGTAATTCTGTCAGAAATCAACGAGATCCAATTGCTTGGTAATACCACGAGTCCGCAGGACCAATAGTGTTACATCGAAGAGATTTGATCGAGTTTTAGATTTCTGACAGAATTTTCGATAGTATTGTGGGCCCCCCGAGTTGTCTTTGTTGAGATCTAATAATACTGTTGTCTGCATTTCATAAAAGCTGACAAGATGTTCTACAGGAGATGGCAGTTTCATATACGTCTTGGAATTGTCGATAACACCGAACTTGCCTCTTGACTTTGATTGATGTGTCAGGTTCGGTGTTTTAAAAGCGTCTAGGTATACCGACAAATCTTAGAAATCTCGATGTCACCCACAACACACGATATTTCTTCTTTCTTCATAAGGTACATTCTTTTATTCACCGGTGGAAGAACTTTGGTGGCTTCCGAAATGACAACGACAGCATAACCTCAAAAAACTAAAAACCAAATATTGGATTTGAGAGCTGTTTGCCATTTGCCTAAGGAAAAATATGGATTAATTAATCGTATCAGTCTAGAATATGAAAATAAAAGAATAGCTGCATTATTGACACCAACAAAAATTTAAAAAATTTCGAGTGGTAGGTAAGAAATTAGTGCAAACATTCAGGAAACTTGAAACAGAGAATTCTTATTATTGACTCTATTTATATCATCATAATTTAATGCAATGTTTTGTATATGGGTTGTTGCAAATTTTCAACCTATCTCGTCTACTCCCCAACATATACAATATTTCATCCTCGGAACTATCAGAAGAGCTGCTAGAACTTCTGGATCTGCAGACAAGGACTCCAATAACACTTCCCTGATCCCTGATGAACAATTCAGGTTTTGCAAGGGACATAGCACTAGGTCCCAAGTGGCCCGAATGGGGGTAAAAGAGACCTTTATTAATCAGGACAAAAATACAGTCACGGTCATGATGGATGTCGAAAAGGCTTTCGACACCGTCAGGCACTAAGGACTAATGCCAAAAATGACGAAGGCTAGGGTGCCTATTTTCACCATCAAGATTGTCGACTCATATCTGAGAAATCGTAAGATTCGTGGAAAGGTGAATGACGCTGTCTCTGGGGATTTTCCACAGGGTTCGTGTCTGTCTCCACTGCTCTACTCAATCGACACGTATGATTTCCCTGTGTTTGAGAGGACAAGTGCTGCATTATATGCTGATGACATAGCACTGATGTATGCGCACTCGTTCGACTCAGGCATCACCAGGACTCAGATCCAGATTCATCTAGACAGGGGAATCATACCGTATTTTGACGAGTCAAAGATCGGCGTGAATAACACAAAAACCGAAGTGATTAATTTCAGTAGAAAATTTACCAATAATGTCTTACGCCGACCTTTGACCGTTAACGGCGCAGAGGTTAGTGACGCACCAGTTATGAAATACCTGGGAGTGTGAAATTGAACCAACGTCTGTCATTCAGCAAAATCTTATACAAAAAACACAGGCTGCGATCAAGAGCTTGTATCCATTGTTGGCCAGAAATTCTGCGCTGACACTGGATAACAAGCTCTTGATCTATAAACACATTATCACACTGAATAACAGATCTTATGACATACGCCTCACCTACCCAGGTAGGTTACAGGTGCTGCAAAACAAAGTACTCCGTGATATATCGCGTCAAAGTTGCTAGAAATTTAGGTTTGGAGTTAGACACAGACTTGCGGTTTAGAAATCATGTCAGCAAATGAGTGAAACGGGCGTATGCCAACTCGAAAATGTTATATCCCCATCATCATGTTTTAGAGAAATCGACAGATTATGCTCACCGAATCCTTCAAAAAGCATGTCAATCATAGACGTAGGGGTCTATATGCACGACTTACTCCCAAGGTATCATTGTCATTGTCATTTCTACAAATATTTAATAGAGGGTGAAAAAACAGTTATTATACAAGAAAGTTGTAGATTTTAGCTCCAGGTTGTGACAAAAAACGACTTACTCGCAAGGTATGATTGATGAATCTACCTATACACCTTTGCAACTAAGCCACTAGATGGCTATGAAGGCTAGATCGTCCTTCTGCCCCCTCAGGGCTTCGACTTGTTTAATATATGGAGGTACCCTTCGTGAATCGATTGTCAGCTGGCCAGTGCCACTGATGAGACTTATGGCAAGTCGAAACAGTCTGTCTTGCATCAGCTGACAATCGATTCACGAAATTTCCCTAGAATCTCTCAGTCTTGACATTCTAGGTTTATCAATTACAAAGATATTTGCGTTCGAAGTTTCCATATGCTCAATGGGTGTGACTTCGCAATATCAAAACTTCTTTCTTTGTCACACTCATTGAGCATATTATGAAAACTTAGATCGTGAATATCTGCGTAATCGTTTGAAATAACCCTATCAAACCCGGTACCGATGAATTCGTTATGACAATCCCTAATCGATTATGGAATAAAATACAGGGTATCCCATTTGAAGATCAAAAGATGGGGTAGTTTCCAGTAGAACCGGAAGTGATAAAGCAAAAATTGTTTTTTCAATTAATGAGCAATTTGGTATACTAGTTGCCCACCAATTTTCTATCTCGATTATTCAAAAGTTACAGTCCTGGCCGTTTTTTGTGCACTTCTCTGTATATGCAAGTGTTTTGTCTGTTGGAAAATTGTCATGTTATCATATTGAAGATGAATAAATGAATTTGGAGTGTATCTGACTTCCACAAGCAGTGCCTCGGGTTCAACCCCTGCGAGGCGCCAATTTTTTTTCACTCACGTAATTTTTCGAAAACGGGTTAATTTAGGCCGAGTTAGGTTGAAATTACAAGAGTGATCAGAATGCTGAATCTTGAACCACCCTGTATTTGTTCCAATTAAAAGTCAGTAGATAGTAAATCAAAAGTTGGGATAGGGACATGAAAGCCGTTTTGACCAATAATGAATAGTTTCGACGCAAAAAAATCCCAAAGTTGAAAAATCTCGATTTTGAACACCCTATATCTCTGTAATCATTCTCGCTAGACCCCAAGTGTGATGCATTGATGAAATCAGCTCACAAAGGATAATGCGAAAATGCAATGAAATACAGAGTATCCCATAAGAAAAAGTATAACTTTGATACGCCACGCATTTCTGGGTCACCCTGTTTAAAGCGAAATAATTTGAAAATGTGCTGGTCATGATCCTAGATCATCTCTGGAACTTTTGTCTATCTATCCCAAACTGTAAAGCCGTTATCTCACTTTGCCACACTAATGACTCACCCTGTATTTCTCCTAAATTTCATTCTTGGACAAAGATAGTTAATAATAATGGAATACCCAAAAGAAATAATCACATTCCACAAGAAGATTCTTCCGGACAAGTTGAATGCTATTTCATTTTTTATATTGAATTGGTCAGTTAAAAGTAAACTGACCTTCTACCCTCTGTATCCCCGCTACTGATTCAGATTGGAATTTGGTACATTTTATTGCATTAAGCGAATCATAATAGACAAAATGAACATGTGATTGCAGGGATATGCTTATTTATCTCAAAAACGGTACTATTCTCGAAAAACATTGAGATGCAGATAACTCTTTAAATCATTGATAACTGGAAGATGCCAGAGGCGTACAGGGATACAGTTTTATTAATGTGTGCTTTATCTTTTTTGTTTCACACTCATTAAAAAAAATTATGCTGATTTTATACAATTTTTCATACAGATTTCATTCAAATTGACAATGATGCAATATCTCTTCAAATATACAGGGTATACCTACAGAAAAATATATATTTTTCAAATGGCATGCGCCGTAGATTTTGATAGATTTGGATTCCTCAATTCATTCTGATTCCAAATATATGATATAAGGATTTCATATCTATCAAAATATACAGCGCATTCCATTTATAAAGTATACATATATTTTCTGAATTCCCTTAATATTTGAAGAGATAATACAACACTGTCACTATGATTGGTACCCATATGAAAAATAATTGCATAAAATCTGTATCAATTTTTTTATGGGTGGAAAACAAAAAAGATTGAAAGAGGTTCACAATAATAAAACTAGCCCTGTACAACGAAAAAGTTTTTGGGGGGGGGGGATAAAGAAGCCTCCACCCTCAGAAATGTATCACCCTGTGGATTTAAAAAATCTTTGAAATGCTTCATATGATGATCTTCTAGAAAGTATTGACCACACCAAAATTCAAATTGCTGTCTTCTGAAGTGAGCGATATATTCCAATTAATAGAAAAACATTATTAAACTTTGACCCCCTGTATCTACGCTACTGATCGAGATCGGATACATATTTATACACACTTTTTTGCTCAAACTCTATCACACATTTCAATGTGTACCTTAAAACCTGGATCACCCTGTATATATACGGGAAAAAAGTACTCACCTTTTTCCCATGAGAAAAAAGTAATTTATAAAAAGTGACATTTTATACCTGTCAACAGAGATGAAATGTCAAACTCTTTTACAGTCACAGAAAAAAAAAAGAAAATTTCCGTGAAGCTTCTGGTTTTCAATCAATTCAATATTCATGAAATCATTTGAAAAGTGACTTTAGTTCACAATGAAATAGTTGAATCATTCAATAACAAATGAAAACAAAAAGGCAGACTACCTCAAAATTCAGGGATTCACAAAAATGCTGGCAAATAAAATTATTGATAAAAACATCTTTTCATTTTGAAATACTTTTTAAAGAGAAATAGTCCAGGAAACATAAGCAATTTTTAGCAACTTTTTTTTGTTCATTCATGGAAAATGAACATTTTTGGATGAGGATTTTGCAAACTGCTGAAAGAATCATTTCTCAAAACAAGCAGAAGCAAATAGAAAAAAATCCGTTTTTCCGTAAGTTAGAGGTTGTATAAATAAATACATAATTAGGATCTACTGAATATATGTTTCATTATGAATTTTTAGAAATCCTAAAATGAGAAAGAAACATTAATCACTCTTCAACTTCATTTCTCCTCAAGTTTCAGATAATATGTTGGAAACAGGACTATTTCAGGTATTTCATAAAGGTATCAGTACCCCTTTAAAACCCTGTGACTATTGTTAGTTTAGGGGTTGATAATAAAGAAAATAATAATCATTTATCAAATAATCTCATCCTTTTGAAAACCTTGAGTATACATCCTTACTTCTCTGTTTGCTTAACCACAGCTTTTCACAAATTCTATAGGAAGAAAGGAATGCATACCCAAGATCTGAATGAAAATGCAAATTCTCAAGAGATTTTTTGATTTTTTGTTATGAATCAATAGTCTGTGTATCATTCTGGAAAGTAGGTAGTTTGTTGTTATTGAATACAAGAACACAGCAATACTTCTTATAATATCTTTCATTCAAGGTTGTATTCAAAAATAATTAGTTTGAAAAAAAAGAAAAAATATATTTTCTCATTTTGTCCTTGTCTTCAGGGTTTCAATGTAAAATAAGAAAAAAAATCATGTTGGCAACTAACCATTTTTAAATTGAGGTTAATTATGGTCTTCTTCTCCATTTTTCTCATTTCCAGTGTTGCCAACATACAATTTTCAATATTTTACACTGGAACACTGAAGTCAAAGACAGATGGAAAAGTCATATGTTCTCTCTCTCAAAGCTAGTGGAACTTCTCTATTCAGCTGATTTTTATGTAATATGTTGTGCTCAAGATGTGATCTAGAGCATGGTATATCAAGCCTTCAAAAGTAGGCAGTGAAGAATTCAACTCAGTCAATAATAAAAAGGATACAGGTTAAATCCAAATTGAAACCATCTTTTTTGTACCTATTCCTCCTTTTGCTAACAAGTTCCTTGATAGGATTATTAATGTTCATAGTAGAAAATGAGGTGCTCATTATGTTTTCTGCAATATCAGAAGATTGTCCTTTTATGTGGCCCGTAGAATATTCTTCACATGTATTTATTGAAGACACAGGTTGTGTTTGTTCTTTGAAGAGTCCATTATCTACAAAAAAAAAACAATATAAGTTTCCTCTATTCCACTCCATTTCAAGTTGTTCAATACTGAATGCTTGATAAAATATCAATTAATAACAAAAACTGGATTGTTTGAATACAATAATAGCTCTCAAGACACCTTTTGGATTATTTGATATATTAGCTGTACTAGCTGGCATAATTGGAGGAAAAAATCCTTAAAACTGGAGCATTACACAAGAAGCTTCCTTGTCCAATAACCAATGAATAACCAATAAATAACTATAAATAATATTTGCCAATGTATTTGGTTATTCAAAAAACAATAATTTTAGTATCGATGTACATTAGAAACCTAGTATCAATTGATTTTATAATTATAATCTAAAGAATATGACAGAATTGAAGGAAAACTGTGGAGTTTTACTTATAATGAAAATGGTTTAAAAACCCAAGTTAGATATTTAATTTTAATTGAAGAAGTAGGTACTTCAATTGTTATACAATTCTCACTACAAACAAGCTACCTATTACCTCGTATATTATACAATAATAAAAAGATGCAACTGATCAGAATGTTTACCTTTATCCTGAAATCTATCCTGGGACACTCCACAACTGAAACACTGGCCCATAAGATTGGTTCAATTTTTTTGTACTTATAACACACAGATTTCTCGAATACACTACATTTTCTGTTAAAAGACATTGCGACATTGAAAACTAGTTGAAAACAGCGCACAATAATGTTTCTTCAGGATCGAACTAAACCAATAGATAGGTATAGAGATGTTGAGCTAGTACTTGCACAAAAATGTTTACATCAGATGTGTCCGACGTTCTCAGAAAGATTTTAGCTAGAAGTTCCATACCGTCATTTCGACTATAACATTAACGTGTTCACAATTTCACTGGAATCTTTCTCCCACGCCAGAAAGATAATGGCCAATTCATCTCACGAAAAGTACTTTAACAAAATCAAAAAAAGTGGAGTGGAGTGTGGACCACAAAAATGACCACAAGAACCGAACCACAAGCATAGCGAATTCACGCGCATGAATTCAACCCTACCCGAAGCGGTCCATAGTTGGAATTTCAGACCAATCAGGACAATCAGGACGATATCGGCCTTGGCGGTTAATTCGAATCTCTGACAATTACAAACATCTACATATACCATTTCCATCTGTGGCTCTCTGAATTCTGAAGAAGTGAAATATTACACAACATAACAATGATGATGAAATATTCAATTGAACAACATCAGTTACGAAATAAAATAATGGATGGACGAAGAGAAGAGTGCATTTTAATTGTGCTGCAACTTTAATAACAAAGTGTATATAATCAAGAATATTATTTTGGAAATTTGAACTTGAATCAGCCATTTTCCACGAATGAAAATAATTGATAAGCCCATTTCGTGAATTTAATCGCTAATTTGTGACCATGTTATTGTTTGACAGATATTTAAAAAGTGAAGGGCGAAGCAAACTCTCCTACTACATTTTTTACAATAAATCGGTGGAATTATCATGTTAAAAATGATCATTATTTCTTCTCAAGCAAAAATTTCCATGAAAATCATAAAAAATATTGTACGTAACTTTCGTTATAGGAAACGCACGTAATCTAACTCTGCCTAATAAGAATGAAGGAGACTACTTTTTTTAAGCAATCTAACTTAACTCGGCATCAATTAACTTCCTTCCTACAACCTACAAGTATATTTTTCAGAAAAAAAAAAGATAACCAACGCAGGGATGGAACCCAGTTCCTCAGGAGTGACTATCCGAAATACAACCACAGAACTCATAATCTTGAATACAACTGACTACGCCAATCCAATGCCAATCGCTCATCCGTGACAGCTTTCAGTGAAGCTCGAGAATCCCGAGAGCACTAGATGGAAATGGTGAGTGTAGCCGTATCACGCACGTTGATGATGTGATTGGTCTAGAAGCTAACAATGGACCGTTTCGGGTAAATATGAATTCTTGCATTCAGCTTATCCCCCACCTACTCTCTCTTGAAACTTGGAAATCTTTTGTCTTCTGTACTCGATACAGAGTTGCCGCTTCTCCACAACACACAAGAGCTCGAGTTCGAACCTGCAGGATGACAGCTTACAACTTACAACAGCGGAAAATGAACTGTTTTAGGGTTATAAATACTAGTCCAATGACGGCTAAATATCTGGACTGTCCAATCACTCAGTTCAGTGTTTTCTCCACCAGAGGGGTTTACTTGCCGTCCTTTGCGGAGAAGTAATTTGTTTTCTGTTATTTTGAGCTCTCATTCGGTTGTTTTCCAATAACATAGGTTATATTGAATTATTATTATTATCAAGTGTCAAAACTGTGTCACTGTCAGGTCCCAGATGTGTTCTGTTGGCCTTTTCACATTTTTACTTGGTATCTCGAACAAAGCTCTCCAATCTCGAATGACAATGAGTGACAGGCTGACAGTGAGAAAATTTGTCAACAAATAATGCAGGTTATGTTGAATAGCTCATTTGACACAGGAAATAGATGACGCCACATGCCGTCTCTTCGAAATTTCATTACAGGGCGATATGGCGATTTTCGCTGGATGAACAGTCATGTAAAGTCATTGACTAGTCACTTTTATTAACCTATAAACGAACTTTCTGTTCACGAGTATTAATTGTGACCAATCAGAGTCCTGCCATTGACATAACTACTATACAGGGTGACTCGTCACGGTTGATGGTAGGTTTAAACGATTATTTAGAATGCAACGAAGGATTTTTCTCAAAGTTCTTGTACAATTTCAAATCGTCAAACGCGGTCGGATTATTTGAACTGTTAAACTGACACTCTTTGTAATTATGCAACAAGTTATCGATGTATAACCCGAATATTTGGAAGTACTTATATTACTACTGAAAATTTCGCATCTTACATTATTTCATATCACCTGTTCTATTTATGTAGAATATTTTCGAAATTGCGACATTGCCGCTTCTATGAAAAAGTCATAGCAACTTCGTATATTGACAATTTTTAAGAATATCCTTCTAATTACAATACTTTTTGGTAATAATTCCCTATAACAACCTATCTCTATCAGTCTTCCAGATATATTATTACATCCGCTGTTTGCGAATGGAATGCTCTTTATTTCTTCACTCAATAAATTGACAGATGCAGAAAAATGTTACAAGATGACATAGCATGTTCCTTATCTACCTATCAAGTTAAATTCACCCGTCACTCTGAATCTAGTACCTACTTTTGGTGTAAGACACTGCCGTATCTCCAGATTGAAATTTTGGCGAAGGATCTAATTTGAAATTTTAGTAGCGGAACTTCATTTTCTCAAAAAAAGTTCATCCTGAAGATCCCTATCAGGATAACGGAACAAAAATTATCAAAATATGCTTTTGCGATCGGTTAATCTTGATAAATGTAAGAAGTTTCAATTCAATCCGACGTTTTGAAGTGGGTCAAAATCATACATAAACCAAGATATAATATATAAGCATGTTAAAAAGTACTCATTATACCCATGCAATACGAAAATACTGAGTAGTTATACTCGTTGAAATTCATTCTTCCCCTTAAAAAAGTAAAAAGTACTTACCTGCCACTTCACTTACATGTTACTATTTTTTCAACTGATAGTTTGATATGTATACTTACCTACTTACTATTCTTGAATGCCACTTTAAATACTACGACAATCCAGAAATTCTCCAATATTCTCGGAAAGTGTGTTAATGTTTTATATTTCCAATATTTCTTTATTGTGCATATATACATTAACCCTGAAACAAGTTTTATGGTCGTCTTCTAGATAGTCCATTTTTATTGATCATTTGTTTATTCATGTTCGGGCAAGTCTACATACATTTTTGTACAAAAGACAAGTCACAGACTTATTTCAAAATACATAATTACTTAAATAATATGAATTACAGCAGGTACATATTAAAAAGCACACATTTACCATTCACATTCATACTTATTATTATTCTGAAAACAATCTCACAACATTATGAACTATTCATACTTTCAAACTATGAGAGCTCTAGAGACTGAATAAAACAACTATCCATGGCATGAATAGCCATATATTGAATAAAAAATAACCAAATCAACCATCTTGCTCAGAACTTTCATTTCAAGATTTTGAATATGTCTCAAATTGAAGGGTCTGAGCATTCTTTCATTGGATTAGTGGTTCAGGAGTTATTCAGGATGAATAGTTTTAGGTGCGCCACCCGGTATAATTTGTTATACTTCATTTTGGGTCACAGTTCTCATCAAAATAAGAAAAAACAAACATTAACAAGACCCGAAAATTCTTTATTTTTGCTATAAAACCCTAACAACACAGGAAAATCCTAGGTACGCCCCTTTTATGTCATAAAGTATACCAATAGAATGAAGAGATTTTGTATTTCGTGTAAAAATGTATTATCAAATCGCAAAGCGCTTTCGGCTAAAAATTCATCATCAGTGCTATACCTGCAAGTAAGTAATATTTATGAAAATTTCCAAAAAGCAAATCCAAAAGTGTAGATTACTTACTCGTCAAGTATTTACAAAAAGGTCCAAAAATTCGAGATCAAAGACATCATTACGGTACAAACGGAATTAGGAACGGATCGACATACATTAAACAAAAAAGTTCCCTAATGGGTTATTCTAGAATTTTCCAAAAATACATTTTAAAATTTTTGTTTAGTTCAGGTCCTGGAAGAGCACGAGGGACCTTAACCTTTATAAGTTTGACGAATATGTGATATTTTTAAACATGATACTATTGTTGACATGTTTAAAAATGTTTAGTAAGTAATCTACACTTTTGGATTTGCTTTTTGGAAATTTTCATAAATATTACTTACTTGCAGGTATAGCACTGATGATGGCTTTTTAGCCGAAAGCGCTTTGCGATTTGATAATACATTTTTACACGAAATACAAAATCTCTTCATTCTATTTATCAGTAACGTTGTATGCAGCCATAGTACAGATCTTCACCATATCCCGCAGAGGATTTACAATGAATGTGTCAACAAGACTACATCCCTGATGGGTTGCCCCATTCTTGTCCCAACTAGTACATCGCTGTGTTATCGCGTTCATGTCCTAGGTATATCTCTTATATATTTATATCAAGAAAATTATGCGAGAACAATATATCAGTTGAAAATCCATATACCAGAGTGTCCTCAAGTTATTTACAAAAAACTACTACATATTCCTCAGACCAGAACAATTCGATACAAGCAAACTTACATCCGTACAAAGTTGGTTAGTTTGAGCGCTAGACTGCTCTGAAGTTACAATTTTTTAATCATTTTTGCTTCATAACTTTGAAACTTCTTTTGATAGTAGAAGTATATCACTCAAATTTGGTACGTTGGCATAGCTCAATTTTTTCACTAAATAAACATCTAAATCTGAAACCTCTACGCCAATGGAAAGAAAGGGGTTTGAATATGAAATTAGGATGGTGTGAGGTATTTACGTCAAAAAATGTTATATCCATGGGATGTCTTTATTGGGATGTAGTTACCCAGCCACGGCTCAATATACGCATATATTTATTACGTTTGTTTGTCATCCATCCCGAAATTGACCGTTATAGATATTTCACAATCGCGCCGCTGTCGATTCGACGCTGGAGATAAATTCCATAATCTCATATTGTAGCACAGTTTAGGAAATGTATTATGGTAAACTGAGATTGTACAATAATATAATATTTCCAGGATCCTCATGCATTTTTCATTGTTGATCCTAGCAAATTACCGACCGACAACGCTTGACAGGTGCGATAGCCCTCGTGATTTCATAATCACTGAGATAGGGACATACGGTCTTCAAGTGTTCAATTCTCGAGATACAGGGCGTTAAAGTTGAGAAATAAAAATAGTTGTTTCGCAATATCTCAAGAATAATTGAAAATATCAATTTGTCAAAATAGCCTTGATAAGCAGTTGTTGCCATTTACTACTCATCTTGATAGAGTATCCC